CATTGTTACCTTTGTTCCCTACTTGATCCTATATGGCTAGACTAATGTTCATATTCTTTCAGGATGTTGTTCCTAAATATCCAATTACATGTGATGTACAATGGGTGGGTGCTGAGGATCCACTCTTCCTGCTGTACACCAGTGGGAGTACCGGAAAGCCCAAGGTATCATACTTAGAATTTAGAAAACTTGTATATTGTATATCTTCTCTTCACTCTCTTAAGAATCTTAAATTCTTTTTCCTTTCCTTCAAGGGTGTCTTGCATACTACTGGAGGATATATGGTATACACAGCAACTACATTTAAATACGCATTTGACTACAAGTCAAAAGATGTATACTGGTAATTTGACCAATTACATTGAAACTTTATCAATTCTGTGTATAATCAAATTCTTGATAGGTATTTGGGCTAAATATTGCTTTTTGTAATAGGTGTACAGCTGATTGCGGTTGGATTACTGGGCATAGCTACGTTACATACGGACCTTTACTAAATGGTGCTACTGTTGTGGTCTATGAAGGGGTAGCTATTTACAGGATATTTTAAGAATTGAAGGCTGCTCTTAGTTAGATTTACAGGGAACTTAAGAATTGCTTGTGCATGATTTTTTTTTTTTTTAAATAATTTAAAATTGACTGCAGGGTAGCAAACTAGCAATTTGGGTTGACACCTTTTACAAGCTAATATGTTTTCCTGCAGGCTCCAAATTACCCAGATCCTGGACGGTGTTGGGATATTGTTGACAAATACAAAGTGTCAATTTTTTATACTGCTCCTACATTGGTGCGGTCTCTGATGCGCGAGGGAGATGAGGCAAGAATAGACCCTACTGCTTTTTTGCTTGTACTTGGTTGGATCAGAACATACTAGTTCCTTTGTTTATATTGCTATATGATAAGTATCTAGTCTAAACAATACATGTTTTTTCTATGCTGATGAATCCAAATCATTTTACACTTCTCACTGACCATGAACAAAGTTATGGAATGAAAGGATAAAACTGTGAAAAGGGAGTACAAGGCTGATGTCCCCTTTTAATGAAATATGGGAAAAATGCAAGAGGAACACCAAGTAATTTTATTCATACCCCCTCCCCCAGCACCCAGCTCTTGGGGGGGGGGGGGGGGGGTGTTGATAGAGTCATAGAGCATAGTTCTTCATAGTAAAATACTAATCTGACTTCTATTGGTGCTCTAATTTCTTTTCCATGGCATTAATGTGAAAAGAATACTTGTAATCAATATGGTTTCAAGAGGAGAAAAATGTCTTGGGGTTCAAATCCAACTCGCTACAATTTTTTTGGCCCATTAAAAAGAATCTGATCCATGTGTGAGGGAGTGTGTTTAGAATAATATATGAAATTATTAATGTGTACTCTCATTCAAACCTTAAGTTTTTAGTTGAGATAGATTATATCAGTCTGAACACACGACATATATATGCTACTAGTACTAGATAGTTTTATGACTTGAAAGTACAAAAACTACCTTTATCCTAGAGATGAGCTGCCAATTGATGCAACCCTGTTCTTTTTGTGATGGGCATCTGATTTCAATGTGTATGCAGTCTATAATGTGAAGAATTCTTCTTTTGTTTTTATTAATCTAAAGGCAATTCAAAGCATGCTGCTAGATAATCCTTTTATTCTTATTTGGATGGGTTTACTGTATGTAATTTTGCTGCAACTTATTCTAACTTTAATTCAGACTAGGATGTGTGACTTTTCACATGTAGAGGAATATGATGCTATCTCTAGCTTGTGTATGAACTAATAAGAAACAAAATTAAGTATGACTCTCTATTTCTATTCTAGTTCCCCACTCTTCTTTGGTTTTCCCTGGAAAGACTGAGATCATCTACGTTCATACTAAATTAGAGAGAGTGGTTGAATCTTGATAGTTTCTTTGACCTTGCAGCATGTCACCCGTTATTCACGCAAATCTTTACGAATCCTTGGAAGTGTGGGTGAACCTATCAATCCAAGTGCATGGAGGTTTTATGCTATACTTTTTTGGAGCTTTTTCCAGTTTCTTCCTTTGAGTACTGATTTGTTTCTAAATGTGTTTGTACTTTTCATTATTTACTCTCTTCTTGTTTAGGTGGTTTTTTAATGTAGTTGGAGATGCAAGGTGCCCCATATCTGACACATGGTGGCAAACAGAAACAGGTGGCTTTATGGTATGCTACTCATTCATTTTTGTTCTTGTTTTGAATAGAAATAACTATGTAATTTGAGACACCATCAATTCCTTGGCTCCTTGCAGATTACTCCTTTACCAGGAGCCTGGGCACAGAAACCTGGCTCTGCTACTTTTCCATTTTTTGGAGTTCAGGTACATGTTTCAGGGGATTTCTTGTGCAGATGCTATTGATGTGAATATCTATGCAGTGTCTATAAACTTTTGGACTTTTTGCCAGAATGTAATTGGAAATCTATGGCAATCATATAATGGAATTATCAAATAACCTTTAAAATCCTAGACTAGGAAGAATTCCAGAGTCTGAATCAATCTTTTCACCACTGCTCAAATGCTGTAATGTTATGCAGCCTGTCATAGTGGATGAGAAGGGTGTCGAGATTGAAGGTGAATGCAGTGGCTATTTGTGTATAAAAAGCTCATGGCCTGGTGCATTCCGAACTCTTTATGGGGATCATGAAAGATATGAAACTACATACTTCAGTGCCTTCCCTGGCTATTATTTCACTGGTGATGGCTGCAGCAGGTAGTTTTATGTAGGATGTACTATTGGAATATATGGACATTCTTTTTATTAGGAATGTTTCTAGCATTTGTGATGGTTCTCTATTTTAAGTATCCATATTTATCTTCTGGTGGTTAGCTTCTAGCACTAGATAATAGAAATAGGCACTAGGCGTTCTGCAAGTTTTTGTTTTTGTTAATCTATAATCTTAACGTGTCTTCTGCTTCAGGGACAAGGATGGTTATCACTGGCTTACTGGAAGAGTTGATGATGTTATTAATGTTAGGTATGCTATATCTTGCTTTTGAAATAAATTCTCATCCTCTCACGGTGTGCATTGGACACACCCAACATGATGCACCAGTTAAAAAGAGGGATAACATGGTTGGTACTTGGTAGGAGTAAGAGATAAAGTTGGAAGAGTAAGACCTAAACTTGGATTAAAGTTATCAAGTAATTTGCTAGCTCCAGGGTTGATGATAATTTGGGTTATTATATAACTGAATGGAGAAATAGTATACATACTATTTGTTAATATTGTGATAAGGGCTTGCTGAGTTGTCATTCTCTCAGTGATTCAAAACTATGATTTATAAAAAGCAGGATGTAAATATTATCTCATTGAGCTATGTGTCACTTTGGTATTCACTTTTTATGAAAAATATCAGTGGGCACCGTATCGGCACAGCTGAAGTGGAATCTGCTCTAGTTTCTCATCCTAAGTGTGCTGAAGCTGCTGTTGTTGGTGTCGAGCATGAGGTAACTTTGCATTTAGATGATTAAACTCCATTTGCATTGCATGCCTTCAATTTTGTTTATGTGCTATCAGGTTAAAGGACAAGGAATATATGCATTTGTAACACTGGTTGATGGTGTTCCATATAGTGAAGAACTTAGAAAAGATCTTGTACTCAGAGTGAGAAAGCAGGTATATTTAGATGTTCCAATGCACTAATTTCTGATATTCCAATATTCATTTAAAATGCTCAAGTAGGATTGTTGAGCTAGATAATATATGGTTTTTAATTTGTGGGTCTGCCTATTTGTTTGTGCAATATAATGGTGAGTTTATAATATTGAGGTCCGGTCCTGTGAGTGCTCTCTTTTTGGGTGTCTATTTCTTAGAATTCTTATTCTGGATTTTTGAGACTAGTGGAAGTATAATTCTTTACTTCCTGCAGTCATTTGCAACGATTTAGCTTGTGCTTTAAATCTGACTACTGCACATTAAAATAGAATGAGACTTGTTTAATTTGCCAGATTGGACCATTTGCCGCGCCTGACAAAATACATTGGGCACCGGGTCTTCCAAAGACAAGGAGTGGGAAAATAATGAGGAGAATTTTGAGGAAAATTGCTTCTAAGCAGTTAGATGAGCTTGGGGACACAAGCACATTGGCAGACCCTACGGTGGTTGACCAACTTATTCATCTTGCTGATTCTTGAACTACTATACTTTGAGCTAAGGATGTTCAATTAGCTAGCTCAGCTCACATTACAATCAACTTCAATTCATTGCTTTCTAGATCAATCAGTGGGCAATCCCGTGTAGCACAAGTTTGTAAAATTTTCCCGAGGAAATAAATAAATTATAGACAAGCAAAGTAAAACTCATTTTGGATTCACTTCAATAGAAAATAAATTATTTGAAATATTGATTTCATTGTTTGATTTGTGAAAAATAAGTTGCTGACAACAATTAATGTAAAAGGTTTAAATGTCTTACATAATAGTGCAATCTTGTTTAACCCCGTCTAATCTTGTTAATCTCCATCTAATCTTCATTTAACCTTGCCCAACATGAGCACATCACATATTGTAATTTTTAGTGTTTCTTGCCATTTTGTCTATCTTCTTGCTATTTTCAGCTCTTGGTGATCTCAGCTTCATCTCCTAAGCTCACAGGATCTCGTCCTTAGAGTCATTGCGAAGGTAAATCACGAGCCGTGTGGTCTTTTTCTCAGTCTTTTCTCATACATGCATGTTTCCAGCCTTTAAATCAAGCGACAAATCAAGCGACAAATCAATTTGTTAAGCTCCGGAGCTAGTGGTGCGTTGCTAGCTATATGTCATTTTCTCCCAACTTCATTGGATTCTTCTCCCTCTTTTTTTTTTTTTTAAAAAAAAAATTATTTAATGTGTGGAGGTTTGGTGGTGCTTCGTTGATCTATGTATGATGTGGTACGGTGCATATTTTTTGATTGTGCGAGAACTTACAAGGTAAATTAATTAAAAATTAAAGTTTAAATTACGAGCATATATAATGCTTAGTCAGTTAATCCATTCAATTAATATAATAATTTTACCCATTTCATTTATCATGTAAAACTTTTCCACATTATTTTACACTCTCTAATTTCTTTTTACAGAGAGGACAAGAAGATGTGATTCTGAGCCATTGATCAACACACTTAAGATGGAATATATGAGAGCACGGCAGTTGTCTGATCTCTTCCTTTTCACGGTAACTTGCTAAGCAAATGCTGCATTCCTGTCCAAAAAATAAAGCAAAGGCCGGCGCGGCCTTCTTTAGTCTTCTATAATTTAATTTAAAGAATTAGGGAAACTAACTAGCTATATGAAAATTTGAAAAAGAAAAGGAAAAAAAAAAAGTCACATATATATACTTGATGTTCATTTTCCAAGCCGGAAATTGTGGACTCAACTTGGTTGTACTTCCAAGTTGGTAGAGTAGAGAGGCGCTCATCGGATGCTCCTCGTCCTGGGTCAGTAATGGGTCCCATGTATCCGAGAATAATGCTGCTAAACAGCGGCACACAGCAGCATATATATAGCAACACGAAGAATATAAAGGGAAGTGAGTAGGTGAGCGCATTCCATGCAAGCAGGATTATGAAAAGAACATGAAGCTTTGGAGCCCCGGGCCCGCGGTGGAATGATCCAAATCCAAATCTGGAATAATCCAACGCCCAAACATTTCCCATCACAAACCATATCGCGAAGAATAGCTCAACACAGCTCCTCAATTTCTCCACCGCTCGCAACCTATATAAAGCTTCAGTATGTAAAATACAACAACTAAGCAACGTAACTACGTAACATTCATTATATTATATATGTATAACTAATTAATTAATTAAGATGGATGGGATCATTAAATTACGTACGTACCTTGATTCGTCAATAGTACGTTGCGTGGTGTTGTGTATCAGCATATCAGAATTAGGCGATGGAGCAGAAAAAGCATTATTATCCCTGGGCCTGTTGTGATGAAATACTAGAAAATAGCGGCAACATAGTAGCATGAGGCCTAGAATACAGGCAAAAGCATAACCTGAGACCCAAATTCTGATTGGCCAAATAGGGGTCTGGGTCTCCCCCTTGGAAACTGCCAGTGCGTAAGCTGTGATGAGTATTTGGATAATTAAAGTTATGCATTCCATCATCATCCAAGTCAAGGAATTGAATGGATTGGAGGCGGAGGAGAGATCAGATAATAATGTTGATCCGTTCAACACTCTTCTTAGGAAGTTGTACCACCACCACCTTGCTCTTGAAGGCGGCGGCCGGTTTCTTGAACTACTACTACTACTACTCACACCCATTCTTCCATCTTCTGCTGGAACCATGGAAAAAGACACTGCAATGCTAGAGTTACAAAGCGATTCGGATGTAATGAAGTACCATTGAGCATTCATTATTATATATATTGTACAGCGCGCACTGCCCAGTATGTAGTCGCAGCGCTAGCTAGAAATGAAAATTGGAATTCTAAAGTTGGATATATATATATATATATATATATGGCACATATATGCATGCATGCATGCACCAACTGGTTTGGATCGGATGAATTTGAATTGAGCAATGGAAGATATATAGTTAATTAGTATGCAAAAACTGGATTGACCGGAAATGAGGATAAAAAGGCCGGACAGAGTAACAGCATATATAAATAAATTAAAGATGGAATATATATAATTGAAGAGAAGATGGTAGCATTATATTGAACATTTGAACTAACCTGACAAGGAAAGCTACTCTGATCTGGAGATTAGATTCCTGTCCGGATCGGATCGGAACTCCTGATGCTTTAATTTGCTTAGAGTCCAAGTGAGTTGTCTTTAATTAAAGATCAGAGGATGAAGCTATAATAATAGTTAGCCTAACTTAATTACCGTACGTTTCGTGTGTGTGGTTTTTTTTTTCTTTTCTAAACATATATATTTTTGTTTGATCTACTTACTGAGCAAATTATTAAAGGAAAATCGATCATATCCAATTAGATCTGCAAGCTAAGCTAAGCGGGAGATATCTGGATCGATCTCAATGATGTTGATCACATAACTATGAATGAATCTAATGTACGTGCAGTGAGCTTAAAGAAAGAAAGATGATGATGCATATATGATTGGTTGTTGACAAAGAAATTAAATTAGGCCAGCAATCGATGGAATTGAAGAATGAGTAGTCAGCCTCACTGGTTAGTTGACAACTTTACTAATTCACTCTGATCCTTCTTTTTTGTTTGTTGAAACATAGATAGCAACTTTAATTAATCAGATTGAAATAAAACCACTCCAAACAACCAGTATGAAAAACGGACTGCTTAACAACAACGTGAGCCACCCAGTTCGCTGATCGTTTTACATACAATTCAATCTGATCCTAGACACTGTACTAACCCAAATTCGCTAGCTAGCTTTCCATCATTTGATTTCATCTCAGGCAGCCCATCCATGTTTCTATAATATATATATATATATATATATATATATATATATATATATATATATTTAGACATATGAGAACACTTTATTAGGTGAGAACGTGAAAACAAATCGTGTGTATCCATTTAATATTTTTAATGGTCTAGATTAGATTAAGTGTATGCGAACACGAATTAAATATAAGTTCCCGTGTGATTAAGTGTCTCCCATGCGGTTGTGCGGTGAGTAATGTGCGTGAATTTCGTACTTAAGGTGCGTGAATTTTTGTGCTTAAGGTGCGTGTGTTTTGTACTTAAGATGCGTGTGTTTTGTGCTTAAGGTACGTGAGGTTTATGTTTAAGGTGCATGTGTTTTGTGCTTAAGGTGCATGGATTTGTGTTCTTAAGGGGTTTTGTTTGTGTGCTTAATGTGCATGTGTTGTGTACTTAAAGTGCGTCAGTTTAATGCTTAATGTACGTCCAACCACACGGGAAGTCCTCCCCACACCTGATCCCTTCTCTCTCTCTCTCTAGTTAAGATTACCAAAAATAACAAAAATGGAAGCACAATTGAAGATGATCATTAAAAATTAAGGCATGTAGGGTCAAGAAAGTAAAGAAAGTATTTTTAAAGTGCTGACTTGGATATCGGGTGACAGAATAAGACGACCAGAAGCAACGAGCAATTGCAGTCGAAGCTTGGCTCTAGGCCGTAAGCTAGTAGTAACGGCATTTTCATTAGTGAACTTTGGTATATTTTTAAAGAGGAATGACTTATATGAAAGAGAGAGAAAATAAAATGATAGGTTCTAAGAGTAATTTTTTGTGGAACTCAGGAGGAGAGAGGAAAAAAAAAAAAAAAAGGAAACAGTTATGCATTTACTCCAACACGTAAAACATCTTATAATTCAGACAATCATGTTTTCTTTTTTTTTTTTTCCCTTCCCTCTCATCTTCTTGTTCCTAATAACACATGTAAAAACTCCTCAAAAACTACAAGTGATCAAGATACAAACATAAGTCACACTAGCTTTTTGTTGTACACAAATACATAGCAAAAATACAAATGAGACTACCAAGTGGCTTGTGGTCCATTGGTATCGGATTGCTCCCCTATGTGGGAGGTCTAGGTTTTGAGCCTCAGTGTAGGCATAAATTGTATGAGTATCCCCCTTCCTTTGTAATAAAAAAAAAAAAAATACAAATGAGACTTACATTTTACGTATTCTACATAAACCCTAAACCCTTTAAAAAATAAAATAACCTCCAATAGGGCTTGCATTTTTTGTTTGATCAACACCAGAAGCGCATGTCTCATTAGAGTTTTTCCTAGAGTTCAAAGACGGGAGTACAGGAGAAGAATTTAATCAGGGCACACAAATGGTACTAATGCAAGTTTGGCAACTTTGAAGATACTCCGTATCAGTAAAAATTACACACGAAAAAAAAAACATTAAAATAAACAAAAAAAAAAAAAAAAAAAAAAAAAAAAAGAACAGATGATGACTCCTTTGCAGTTTTGAGTCGGAGCTGTACGATTGTCAAACCTGGGGTAAACTCTATACATGCCATTTCAATTGTTCCAGTGCAGTACAGTGCAGTCACAAAAACAAAAAAAAAAAAAAAACAAAAAAAAAAAAAAAACAAAAAACAAAAAAAAAAAAGCATCACTATAAGTGTACAGTGCATTTAGTAGTAGATGCTGTAAGCCTTCACACATATTGGCAGATTAAAATTCCAAAAATATGGCTTAAAAAGCATAGATACCAGTCATGAACTTGATCCACACTCAACTGGTTTTGGTTTTGGTTTTGGTTCAGCTTCAACCTCACTGGAAGCATGAGATTTCTCATCCACTATAGGCAACTTATCATCAGAAGGGGGAGACAATTCAGCAGGTTCAGGCAACTCACAGGACCCCGAGTAAATTGGTTTCTTAAATTGTACCAGTAGCATAGTCATGTTGTCACATCCCTCACCTCCAGCAGTGGATGGCGCCAAACATCTATCAAGAACTCTTTCACATACTGTGGAAAGCTTGCTTTCCTGCACAATCAAAATTAAGCAATGAAATCAGGAGATTGGCATGCCAATTTCAATCCCAAGATCTACACAAATAATATTACTCAACAAATCAACTGAGATGTGTAATGCAAATGAGACAAGGACTCACATAATAAAAACACTAGCTCAGGGTTATGTTATTAATCTCATTGAAGATAGGACTCAAAAAAGGCAAACCTTGTGTAATTGGCCATTTATAATTCCACACAGGTAATTAGATTTTAAGCAATTAATAGCAACTACAACTTATTAGTTCCACTTTAAGTTCCCTGTAGGTTCTTAGCAATCAACTTAGTGCCACTTTAGTACTACTTTACTATTGCATTAGAAAACAATGAACAACAGAAGGCCACCTGACCTAGGATCATGGTGCAAAAGCATCACCCTTACATTTTACAACTTAAGTCATCATTTTTTTTTTTTTTTTGGTTGAGAGAATGCATAAAATGTTAATTCCAGAGCACTTACAGAGTGCAGCTGCTCATGTATAAAATCAACCAATTGCTGGCTTGACATACAATCCCTGAGAAGAATAAAACAGCACCCATACAATGATCACACTCTGCAGTATGTCGATATGAAACTGTAACATCTTGTTTCTTAAAAATTAGAAGAAAAAAAAATAGTAATAGTACATTAATTTTTCCTCTCATTTTGCACATCATAGAGATCTTTTAATACCCAATAAAAGATTGAGATAATTTTTAGATATGCAGGAAAAGAGATGAAATATTTACAAAAATATCTCTAGAATCTAGAGGTTATGAATTTCACAATTCAGACTGTTAAATGATGTGAAAGAATGAAAGGATTCATCTTATTCAATATAGAACTGTACAGGTACGAACTATTTATATAGGAATAAACTATAACCTAATGGGCCCATTCCTAACAAGCCTAGGGTTTCAACAAGAACCATATACCATTTTTAGATGCACATAATTCAGAAACATAATTATGGCCATAGCCCTGCCTGCAGAAACCATTACTTTACCATAATGGTAGCCAAATTATAAATTACAACTGCAAACTTTACTCTTACTTAGCATAATGAAGATTTACCGCAGAAACAACATAGATGTGAAAACCAACAAATATCATAATAGCAGCCAAAAATGACACAGAATGATTCATGTGCAATGCATTCAATGAATGAAGTGAAGAGATGAAAAGAACCACCACCTTTAATGTCATTCTAACATATCACACTAATCCCATGGTGAAAATTTTTGCATCTAATCTAATCCGAAGAAGGTATGGTAACTAAAACCAGAGACCTAATTCACCATTATCTACTGATTTGTACTTGTATCTTGTATGTTGAAATAGGTTTATCTATAGGGTTGTGTCTGTTTATGAATAGGTGTTAGTTATGAGTAGTTACTTACAGTTATGTTTATGTTTATATATACATATATATATATATATACTATGTTTCTTTGATAGAAACACATACAGATAATACAAAATCTTACATTATCTATATCTTTCAGTCTTATATACATTTTCCATTCCTTGATTCTTCATCATTGCTTCCGCTTAACTGGCGGGTGGTTGTTATTCTCCACCCGCCAGGCCATTCCATCTTTCAAATTCAACATGGTATTAGAGCCTAATTTCCTAAGGTATTTCAAACATCAAAATTACATTTTTCCAGTTGAACAGTAGTACACATAAGTTACTGTTCACGCGAAACCCTAATTTTTCAACACTGATGTATTTTTCCGATGAAGATTTTCCAGATTGTTGTTTTGCCCTTCTTTGGACCTTTTGGTGAAGTTGGCTTTTTGGGTTTGTTACCAACTTCTTTCCGGGGTGCTTTTGGTATAACCGTATTTGTTTCCTTATTTTCGGTATACCATATTTATTCCCTAGGGTTTTCAAGTTTGGTACCTTTTGTTTATTTCCAGAAGCCTCTTTTGTTATTCACTTATCCTATAAGGGGTATAAACAACAATCATGTGGAGTTCTTGGTATTCATACTTTATTCTTCGGGTGCATTTGTCATTACTTTGGGCTCTATTACATCCCCTTGCTGCTCATGCTTTGTTTGCTCTGCCGCTCTTGATGAAGATTGTTGTTGGCAAATCCTTGAGTGCTTATGTTGTTGTGAGGGTGTTCGTGTTAATCTCTACCCTTAGTGCCTTCATTCCCAAGGTTGTTCGTGACAAGCTTCGCCCCTGGTGCCTTCATTCCCAAGAGTTGTGTATAGCATTGTCCCTCCGAAGCCATCCAGCACTCTTATTCTCTAGCTGCTTTTAATCTTCATTTGTAATTTAAAGTAAGGTAGGTTGTATGTTTTAATCCAAACTTGGAACTTCCAGATGTTCCAGCTTGAGGGGGAGTGTTGAAAAATAAAGAGTTAGGTTTATCTATAGGGTTGTGTCTGTTTATGAATAGGTGTTAGTTATGGGTAGTTACTTACAGTTATGTGTTTGTATATATATATGTACTATGTTTCTTTGTTAGAAACACATACAGATAATACAGAATCTTACATTATCTATATCTTTCAGTCTTGTATACATTCTCCATTCCTTGATCCTTCATCATTGCTTCCGCCTAACTGGCGGGTGGTTGTTATTCTCCACCCGCCAGGCCATTCCATCTTCCAAATTCAACATTGTATATACCATACGGTTAATTAACAGTAGGTTTCCTTTTCACAAACTATGAAAGATTTGTTTCATATGAGATTGAGTTTTCCACAAAAAGGTGCATTAATCCAATGCAAGTGTTAAAATTCCAATGTTCCAGTGCAATTCATAAAGATGGAACTCTAACTTGAGTTTTTGACACTGTGGGAATGTTAATCTTTTTAACTACATCTATAAACTTTCTTCTTTTCCAAGGGGAAAAAAAACAATAAAAAACCACAGTTCTTGAATAGGAAGATAATCCAAAACTTTTAGATTTTTGTGGCCCCGTTCGGGTAACTAAAAGAGGCCCTACCAAAATCACAATCTTTAAAACCAATATAGTACTTTGTAATTTTTTCTAATAATAATAATAATAATAATAATAATAATAATAATAATAATAACAATGTAGTAAAATGTTGTTGTGCGCAAAGGAAAAAACAAAAGACATATTATGGAATAAATTACAATTATAACAACAACAATAATAATAATGTGCGCGCAATGCAAAAGGATTAAAAAATGTCCAATGCTAGCTACAAGTTTTGAACCTATGACCTCTAAATTAATAATACACAATAAGCACATGTTTCTACCATTTCTTCATAAAGCCTTTTAAGTATAATTGAAAACTTTTATTTTTTATTCCTAAACTAGCTAGGTAAAAATTAAATATTGGACCTTTTAAAATTTGGGAGCCCTGTGCGGTAGCCCAGCTTGCACAGCCCAAAATCCGGCCATGTCCAAAAGATGTCATTGACTCTCAAGCAAAACTATTTTGAATAACTACCATGTAAGAGCACTCAAAAGTAAACCTAATTCTTGAATATGAAGATACTCCAAAACATACAAGTACCTAACGAGCGAAAACATATTCCCTTCTAGAAAATAAGAGCTTGTCACTCTTAATATTCACAAAGTTCTGCAAGCCCCCAATATCCTTGGGGTTAATTAAAGTTCAAAAGTTCTCCTCAAATTTTAATATAATTTTTTTGGTGGGGAAGGTGAAAGAGTGTTACAACACAAAATATGTTATGAGCCCAGCAGCAAATTTTTTTTGTTTTGGATGTAGCCCTGGATTTCCACTATCCCCTCGCTGAATTGTAGACACCTCTATTGGGTGGGACAGCTGGCCTGGAGATTTAAGGCTACTACATACCCAAAGCCAAGGATCAAACCCTTGACGTTTGGTTAAGGATGGAAGATGGATGAGTCCCTTCCACTCAACCACACCTCAAATACTGATCAAAGCAATGTTCATTCTTTTGAAGTAAATTTCACCCCTAGAATGTTCCTTGCCTTTAAATAAATGTTCTTCATGGCTCATGTAGCTATTTGAGCTGGAATTGACATTCTACCAATTGAACATTTCAGTGGAAATACCCCCAGAATATTTTTAATAACTTAGTTATGTGCTATATTAGGAAATTGAGAGATTTATGAAATAGAAAGATTTAATGAATCAGCACTTTATTTTTATTTTTTTCCTTTGATTTGGGAGATTAGTTGCCTTTTTTATTTCCCAGAAGACTACGACAAATCTCTACAGCAGAATGGAAAGGTATAAGCAGTTAAGCGCCATTAATCCATATTCTCTGATTTCTCTCTGTTTTCAGTTTCAAAAGTTTATTTCGGGTTAATGCTTTCGCATAAAGTAGATGAACCAGAATATTCAGATTTGGATTATAATGCAAATATGCTTTGTATTTGGGCCGCATCTTTTCTGGTACTTTTTTGTAGAAAACAAAAGGAATACAAGTCTCGAAGTGAAAAGAGAAGTCTAGAGTGCATACCATATGCCATCACAAGCTAGCACAATAAAATCATCATCCTCGCATAGCTCAACCTAATTACAGAAGAAAAGAAAAAACCATTAAACTACTTTTCATAATGGATATAAGATAGTTTAAGCAGGAAAAGATAATTCCAACCTCATGAAAATTTACAAATCTATTTGACCAAAAGAACGATAATTTTTTTAAGATTGCATACAACGAATGAACTAAACAGACATGATTCTCAACAAAGGCATATGTCAATGTTTGTAATCTCTTTCATCATTTGAATCTTCGGTCTTATTTTAAAGTCAGGGAGAGTCTCCCCGACTCTTGGGCATATAGGCTTTTTGTCCTTTATTTTTGTGCATGTACAGATTCAATGGACATAGTGTATAGAGTGAGTTTGTCCCTATCTTTCACACTCGCACCAAGGGGCTAGAGTAGTCTCCTTGGCCCCACGACACCCCCTTTGTCTTTGGTATTTATCTTGGTCCTTTAGTAAAAGACAGTAAGGTATGCCTAGGCCTTACCGTACCTATGGATAGTTTACCATTCCGTGTTTATAAAAATAAAAAAACAACATATATTATGTCATTAAATGTTCAAAATGCCAAGGGTAAAGAGCATATTTTCCTTCAAAAAGATAATAGATATACACCCATTTCTAGTATAATGACACATATACCTCCCATAGAACTCAGCATCCTGGCCGAGGCCTACACACCATCATTTAGGGGCAAGTGTGATCTACTCTAATGCAAATTGTAGTATTGTATCCCACCATCATTCAAAAGGCACACATCAGCTGGCTCTAATTCCAACTGTGATGTTCCTGCCTAATGAAACTGTATGGTCTAAGGGGTTACCTCACAATTTTAAAACACTGCACTAGGGGAGGGCGAAGTGCACATTCAAAATCCAACATATGCTGATGTGAGATTAGCCTGAGGTGACACATCTAGTATTAACCATAAAAAAGTGGCTGATCTAGGAGTGTCAATTAAGTTACCACAGTTCCACAAAGGACAACAAAGAGACTGAAGAATAATGCAACATATTGACCCCAGATGCATAAAAACTTCTAGAACTGCTTAGCATGAAGCCTTAGAGTGAACTCGAAATATTGTAATTGGGTTAGAGTGTTGGTCTTTTTTTACAAGTATTTCTGTTCATAAAAGGGAGGTAATGCTTAAAAGCTTTACAGGGTGTCAAATATATGTGGAGTTAAGCTCCTCCCATGGCTATTTCAGCAAGGAATTCTGCTAGTCTTCGCAGTGTCAATTCCAGCATTCTTTTCCACCTGAAGTACCTTCCAGTATTATGATGCTTGTGCATAGAACTTCTAGTGTTGGGTGGAGGCCGGTAAAAGGCCAAGTCTAGCACCCGGTGGCTGGGGGGATTGTTGGCCAGAGGCCAGTAAAGGGTAAAGGCCAAGTTCAGCGCCCAGTGTCTCAAAAATGTGATGGCAGTTTATAAGGAAATAAAGTTGCGCCTTCGCTACTAGCTATAGATTTTGGCGTAAGTGGTAAGCGCTTTATCCTAGCATCTAGCATCTAGCATCTAGCATCGAAGAAAATTGTAATTTATCTTTTCATTTAGTATCCCAAAGCTTTTTTTATTTATTTCGAAAGGGTAATAATATATGAAAGCTACTTAATGAAGTCATTAAGTTTTATAAAAAGGCATTTTGGGGACAACGCCCTTGGCTGCACCGTGCACATCAAGGCAAGGCATTTCAGAACTGGCAAATGGTGATTGAAGATTGTTGCAAACTCTGCACTTTTGCAGGGCATGGCAAGTAAATATCAAGGGTAAAGCAACACCCTGGGCTTTAAGGCACACCTTTTTGAATTATCATATAACAAAGAGAAGTAATACAAATTATAAGAAATGAGCACAAGGAAGGGAAAAGAAGAAATGCTAACCAATTTTAAAAAAAAAAAAAATTAAAAATTAAAAAAAATTTTAAAAAAAAAAAATTTTAAAATTTAAAAAAAAAAAAAAAAAAAAAAAAAGCACAAGGAACAACTTTGCCCCAGTTTATATTGGACAACAATATATCCCTAAAACACATATTGCTTTTGTGCATAGTGAACAACTACATGGAAAGCTTTCCTCCCTAAAAAATCTGTGTAGGTCTACCTTAACCAGATATAATTAATACAGCAGCAAACAATGTGCAACTCAAGAGAACATTACAGAAGATAGCAAATCTGTGCAGTCTACTTTTGGATTGTATCTTGTCCCAAAAGTACAAAACTATAACCATTTCAGGAGATAGCAAATTTCTTCAACCAAAAGAAAGGGAGCTTTAGGAAATAACTATATTTGTTTCTTCATTAGCCACAGTATGACTTTGATTTAAATATCAAGATAAGATATTGAACAACAGAATGCATCTTTGAACAGTAACCACAATTTTTTATAAGTAACAGCAAAAACACATATTTTGAGAAGAAAAACAAAAAAAAAAAACCTACAGATTTTCATATTCAGTTTATTAAGCTAAGATGTGGTAGATGAAACGGCCTTAATATATTGCCTACAAATAAACGAAAGCCTTGAACTTGGCTTGATTTTGATACTAACACACACACACACACACACACACATATGGATAAGGAGAAGCATACTGTATTTATATCTGGACTGGCAGTTACTATTTGCCTCTCAGCTGGCAAAAATTTATTCTGCTTGAATTCCATATCTCCTGCAAAGATTAAAAAGATTGTTATTGATACAATTCCTGTGTATTAACAGAACTCCAATTTCAGTTGCAGCAGTATCAGAAAGAGTAGAACTATGGAATAATGCTCATACTGATAAAAACCAATAGTACCTATAGCTCTTGCAAGGTTTAGACTGCCATTCACTCGTCCATTATGAATGAAACCGCCGGCTTTTAGAATTCGTTCTCTTTCCACCTCAAGATCAGGTTTATGGTCCCTTGACAGATTGTATGCCTGCATCAGTGAGAGTCAGACAGAGAGGATTCAGCTCAAACATTAAAATCTACCAAACAACAGTTCACCAATCAATAAATTGTTCCATGTCTGGTACATTCAGACATTCAGTGCCATGGTCTGGTACATTCAGTACCTAGTACAAGTCAAATATTGGCACCTGTTGGAATCTCACAAAGGTAGGACTGTAATATAGATATCTAAAATATCCACATATAAATAGACTCAATAATCTTCAGAACTTTTCATAAGTTATCCACTACCTGACCCTTTCTTGATATTACACAGCGAGAATCACCAGCATTTGCAACAACAAGATGGTTGCCTCTAATGATTGCAACACAAGCTGTGCTTCCAGAAGTCGGTCCAGAAAAATCAGAGTGGGGCCCCTAACAACAGAATGAATTGGCAGTTAACCACATATCAACAAAAGAATGAAGAAAAAAAAAAAAAAAAACAAACAAACAAACACACACACAATGGAAAAACAATGTATGTTATTATAGGACAAAAAGTTCTGCTCTTGACAGAAGAAATATAATATCAATCTGCTCAGGTGATCATAACATGAATTGTGACTAAAACTCTAAAAGTACAATAAGTGAGCCTAGCTCACCACTGCATCAACTCATCAAGCCAAAACTTCTTTTTTCATGAACTATAAAACTAAAAAATGGATCATATCACAGTTTGAAGTACCTCCTCAAATGCCCAATCATCAACTTGATCATTTCCATCAGAATTTCTTGGAGACCATATCAGACCTTCTATCATACCAGTGAACTTGTTCAATTTATCCCCCAGAACAGCAAGCTCCCTCCAGCCTCTCTGTCCGCGCATCATCTCATCCATTCTGCATGACAAGTAGAACAAGGTTAGAATAAATTAAGACAATTTAAACAAACACTTGAAATAAATTATGATTCCATACACAAGTGTTAATTAGCACTTCCCAATAGGAAAATAGAAGATAAAATGTTACTTTGTACTTTACAAAAACAATTATAAATAAATAAATAAATACAAATTTAATAATGACCCTTTTAAAATCCAGAAAAAGGGCCACTATTCAACAAATAAGAACTCGTTTTATAACTAACATACAGAAGACGAAATACAACTTATCAAGTAAGACAATTTTGACGCAGCACTAAAGCAAGAGACGATGAAAGAAACCAGTGGCCTGGAAAAGAGGTTGTCTGCATTTATAAGTCTGTTTTTGTTTATTTCTATATTGGTTTGCTGAAGAAACTTTAGTCTTACATGAAGGATAATCACCTTCTGCGCATTAAGCTACGTACTAGTGCTTTCAGCAAAAAAATAAAAATAATAAAAATCCAAAAATTACTCCAAAATACAATAAAGCAATATCAAGTCAGCAGGAGAAACAACAAGCATAACAAACGACATTTTTTAAACATGTTTACTTTAGCAGCAAATGCTACATAATGTGTAGAATCAAGACATAAACATCATAAAGTAAATAAAGACATTAAATACTTAATTTAGTCATTAATGTCAATTCTCAAAATAATATTTAAAGAATCAGTAAAAAAGAAATCGAGCAAATGACCTAAAAAAGGCCTTCTGCACAGAAGTTGCAATATCACCAGCCAGATAAGCTTCATGTTTAAGCACTTGTTGATGAAGATACTTGGCACAGAATTTAGCCACAACCTTCCCTGCAATATAAGAATGGATCAACAAAACTAACATTAAGATGACCAATTAAAAACAGCAATTGTCATGGACTATAATTAAGATGTTTTAATGAGGCTTCCCAAGCCCATCATACTCTCTCACAGCACCAAAAGTTATCATGAATTATATCATAAAGAACATCTTCAAGACTTGGATGGTCCATTAAGTTGAATTTGAGTTACATAAAGATTTCTCAACAAACGAAGGGACATGAAATATCTGTGCAGCTATGCAGAGATGGAAATTGTTAAAGAGTCCCACATTGATAAAATAAGAGAGAACATATGGGTTTATAAAGCCAAGGGTTAGACTAGCTAATAGCTTGGATTTAATCTTTTAGTGCGGCTTGGCCCATGTGCATTATAGCCAATTGAGTGACCCTAGCCCAATCTTAATTTATAACAGAAAGAAGGAGAGTGACAAGGTAGAAGTTCAACATCATGCACAGCCCAACCACCCTGAGGAAGCTAATCTAGGAAATAATCCACAAGCATTTTGTTCAAAATTAGTTATTTATGAGTTATGACTGAAACTAGGTTAATCATCTTCAAGTCAACCGCTTAGAAATCCATTTGTATATGTAGTTAATGTAGTTTAATGAACTTCTTCAACTGTTTCATCATAATTTGTTCAGTTCAATTTAGTCTCTCATTAGTCATTCTATCAACCTCTGGGAATGTGTCGGGGGAGAACCAGTAACATCAGTCTTCATGAAGGCATGTCAGTTTTAATTCTTTTGAATGGGTCAAGAGCAAATACTAAAAGGCTAAAAGCACAATTTCCTATTAAACTCTCCATGAAATCAATTGTTCATCAGATTAACAATATTCCAATAACATTCAAGTAAGAAAGGTGGAGAGAGGAGGAAGGAAAATGTTGTATATACAAGTTTGTTGGTACTCTAGTAATACCCCTAAAAGGTTGAAAAGAGAATCAGAAGCATATTGAAGTAAACAAGTTCTGAAACACTGAAAAGTTGGAATTATCAGATGCCACTGCTCAGGAATTAAACATGGAACATACAAAAATAGCTATATCTGATATAAGCATATAGCAGATCATTTATACCCAAGTAAACAAAACAGTGTCATTATTTCTAGTTTTCTACATAACTAGATGTACACTTCAATTTAATTCTGTCACACCCTCTATCTAAAATCAAAGTCACTACTATTAGAGTATTAGAACACATAACATACCATCATAGAATGACCTAAGCCAGAATATAATTACCTCCATGACCATCATAAACGCCAAAATAGGAAGTGGTAGTGTCCAAGTCAAGGATCGCCGCATGCTAAACAAATAAGAAGCAAGATTTAGAGAAAAATGATTTATAAATTTTGTAAATCCAATATAGATATGTACATGCACACACACACACACAGGCGCATAACTTCAGAGCATCTCACCAATAAATAACTTGTAGAGTACACTCATGGCTATGATTATCTAAAATGTATGTACTGCTAAAAATTTAAAAAAAAAAAAACAAAAAAAAAAAACAAAAAACAAAAAAAAAAAACAAAAACAAAAAACAAAAAAAAACAAAAAAAAAAAACAAAAAAACAAAAACAAAAAAAAACAAAACAAAACAAAACAAAAAAAACAAACAAACAATTAAGAATACCAAATTAATATGCACAACTACACAAGACCATCATATACACACAATTACTGGATTTACTGCTATTAAGTTACAAACTCATGTTCTTCATTGTTTGAAATTTCTTCACTTCTAGTTCTGGCTAATTCATCTTCTCCCTCCACCCCCTTCATTTTTATTTCCTTAATGCTTTGCTTTGTTTAGGAATTTAGGAAAGAGGATGTAGTTGAGAATCCCTATCTTTTTGGTCAGAGAAGGAGAAAGATATGTAAATGTAATTGATGACTTTATGAACTTTATAATAAGTTTAACAACATTTTTATTTCTATAGTTAACTTCTGTCTAGTACTGTAGTTTTTGCATACTATATTAAGCCCCTTCTTGGTGCTCTGATTTGCGACTAAAAGCATTACTTCTAAAAAAAGAAGGTAAAGAAACTATGGAAGTTTTTTTTTTAAGCATTTGGCTGTCAATGGGGAAGGAAAATGTGTTGGCAAGAAGCCAAGAACTTTTATATTTTAAATAGAAAATTAATTGAAATTTAACATAATGCCGTATTGCATCTCACAGCCATTAGCACATGACTTTGAGTCTTTGACAATACAATGAAAGCCCACTTATTTGGCGTTGAAAATCAAATTGTGTCATTTCCATAGTCCACGATTTGGCCCCATGATCTTCAGCATTCTTTGACAAGTTTCAGAAAAAGAGAAAGAGATAGAGAGAATAAAGCAGGAAGGCAATGGATATCTACAGTGGTAAGTGCAGTATCTAATAAGGTGTAAATCAGCACAGAAGAGAATTCAAAAAGGTTGGGCTTCAGTGGAGGAAACAGTGACTGCAAAAGAGGGCAAAAGGTGACAAGTGAAACAAAGAGCAGTCAAGAGGGGTCAGGGTCCTTGGGTGAGAAGTCTCGTACTCTTCTTCCTTTTTTTTATATATTCTCCCACAATCTTTAGAATTTTGGAAATAGACTTGACTTTCCTCCTCATTTCCTTCCTTCAGGCTTCACCTGCCCTTCCCATCTTCCTTTGCCTCCAGATGTAAAGAAAAACATCTGGGAATGATTCGCGATGAGTCCCATGTAACAGAATGTGGTTTAAAGGTAGGAGGATAGAAATGTCAAGTGGCACTCGGAATCAGACACAAGCATATAGTAGGATGTGAGATTTATAAATTAAGTGAAGGTCAAACACAAAGAATGGATACAAAGCAAACGCAAGTGCTCTGTCAATACCACAAAAAAAAAAAAAAAAAATTGATCCAGCCTTTTTTATACATGGGTTGGTCAGCTATTTAATGGATAATCATACTTTAAGGACCAACTGATATATGATCAAACAAAGAAAACAAAATTTAGTTCAATCAATTTATGAACTTGATCCTGAATTTAAGATTTTTAAATTAATTTGAAAATTGTTCTAGATAAGAGGACATGCATCTTCCATGAGACAAATGTATGTCTTATAACATGAAATTTGGAGCATTTCTCTGAGCCATGTGAGTGTCAACATGGACACAACCTCGATGCATGCCTTTCTAGGCAAATGACTAATTCTTAAAACCTCATTTTTTCTTGCATACGCCACAACATATCAGATATTAAGCATTCAATACATTTGTACCACAAACATCTTATAACCAGCATAAATCAGATGGACTCATTGATTACTCATTTACTCACCGCATCTTCCATTGTTGCACGCCATCCTTGCATGGATGATAAACCATATCTAAGCCTTGTATTCTCACCATTCTCTGAGAACTTCTCTGTTTTTGGAGAACTAAGGTATATACCCATCACTTTTAACTGAAACCACAAGAGCGGAAGAAATTCCATAGCACTAAATCATAAAGGTTGAGCCAACAGATGTGCAGAGAAGAATATAAGGTAGGATACCTCTGAACTTAATTGAAACAAAATGTTCTGTTAATTGAAAAACAAGGGAATCCATCTTGCAGATCATACATACTTGGCATTCTGTCCTTTCATATAACTTTCAAATTCCAAAAAATACAATCAAAACCACAAATGCGCATTGCCATATATAAATGCATAGATTGAATCTAACTAGAAAACCTTTAAACTGAAGCAAGTCTAAGATAACTTCAAGCATGAGACTAGTATTTCATGAACCCTAATAACAATATCTTATCATTCTCATGTCAGACCATCTGTTCCTGAGGCTTCCCACTTCAAATTCACATGTCCAAACCAATCTTGCTGAGCAATAATCATCAATCAGAGCAACCTTCCCTCACTCTTACTCACAAATTAAATAAGGCCCATAAAAAAACTCACCAATATATCTTTGGATCTACAAACTCCTAGAAGAGTTCCAAATGAACTTAAAAGAATATAAATAAACTGCCAATTAACATTAAAGAGTAAGAACAAAAGCACACAAGATCAAAAGGATATGCAGAAAGTAAAGAATACCAGAAAATATATTCATATAAACCACACATAAATAAATATCACCCACAATTTTACCGGATGGCGGAAAATAATAATACAATAAAGTCTACAGAGGGCTCGTGGACTGACCTTCCCAGTTGAGCGATCGTACTCAACCTTGAATCAGAGCCAACTGCACGAGCAGAACATACAATCCGACACTTTGAAAAGTTATTAATACCCAGTAATTATGAAGATAAAATGAGTATTTGCAATACGGAAACTCGGAAAGAGGCGAAGATAGAGACAGAAAGAAGGTCTTCAGACAGAGAGAGTTGATTTTGAACAGTTAAAAAAAATAGGATTGTATTATTCTATGAATTTATATGATTATGTGAAGATTCTGATGACTGTCTTTTGATTTTATCTTTAATTTGACCTTGATTTTGAAGACAACGCGAGAGCAGACGCTGGTAGGCGTTGTGTGCGAAAATGGTCTATGCTACAAGACATCTGCAGTAGCCAACTAGTGACTAGGGGTGACAATTCTGTTCGACCGATTCGAACTAAATCGGATCAAATTAAATTAGTAATATACTGAAAAATAAAATGAGTTAATACTCAAAATCGTCCTCGACTATAGTGATTTTTCTCAATTTCGTCCTAAACGACTTTGGTGACATAATATCGTCCCAGACTTTTGTGTTTCGCTCAATTTAGTCCTCCATTTGTTATTTCGTCAAATTAGTGTTAAATAAAGGGACAATTCAGTAATGTCAATATTGATCTCTCTTTACTTTCAACTTGTGAAGTGCGAAATTTCTCTTTCTTGTACGAATTACACCCAGAATTACTCCCGGACCTGCAAATCAAATTTTATATTCGCAGTTTTAGGAGTAATTCTGGGAGTAATTCGTAAAAAAAAACAGGATTTCGCAGTTCACATGTCTATGAGTAAAGAGATGCCAATATTAAAATTACTGAATTGTGTATTTATTTAACACCAAATGGACAAAATAACAAATGAGGGACTAAATTGAGCAAAAACACAAAAGTCTGGGACTAAATTGAGCGAAACACAAAAGTCTGAGACGATATTAGGTCACCAAAGTCGTTTAGGACGAAATTGAGAAAAACCACTATAGTCGAGGACGATTTTGGGTATTAACTCAAAATAAAATGGTTCAATTTTTTTATAAATTGAACGGTTTGAAAGATTCAGTAAAACACTGAATCGGACCGAATATCTTTTGATTTTATTAATTATTTTTTTGATCCTGGATGAAGGTGCTATCCAAATAAACTAGCAGTTACTAAATATATGTCCATTGTCTGTTCCGTCAGTCTATATTCTCACTGGTATCTCTTTTAAATTTTTTTATTTAATTTCTTCCTTGAAACCAAATTAAAAAAAAAAAATGAACTAAAGCCCGATAACCTCGTTTAACTCTCTTGGCATGTGAGAAAGGACATTTTTAATTGCAAAAATGTCATAAAAATATGAAATTATATTTTTTTGCTAAACTTAAACCTATTATGAAGAATTTGTTGACCATTCGAACCTCTCTTTTCTCACTTTGTCTGTCATATTTATTATTCATTAATCAAATCAATTATTTTTAAATACTTATTTTCATTAGTAACTTTTAATTATTTTTATATTTAATAATACTTTTAGTATAATTTCATATATGGGGGGTGTATTCAATCATGACTTTCATAGAGTTTTAAAGACTTTTATGAACTTTAAAAGTTTGGAGGTATTCAATTCAAACTTTTAGAGAGTCTTTAAAAGTTAGGCGGTATTCAATCAAGATTTTTAAAGAGTCTTTAAAAGTCGTGTGGTATTCGATTAAGACTTTTAAAGAGTCTTTAAAAGTCATGTGGTATTCAAAAAGTTATGAACTTTTGTAGACTTTTTAATTTTAAGACTTTTGTAGACTTTTCATTCTCAAATATAAATAGTTGAAATCCAACCCTCAACCCCAAGATTTCAAATTTTCTTTCTAACAACTTTGAATGTTTTCTCTCTCTATTTAAACTCTATTTTTCCCCTCTATTTAAACTCTATAAACCTATCTAAATTCAATAAAATTATTTTTTCTTCATTATCCTATATTTTCGTCATACCTAAACTCTACCAATTTTTTTATCTCTCCTAAACTTTAAAATCTTCATCTAAAAATTCGAAATAATATTATTTTTGCTTCATTATTGCTTGTTTATATTGGTTTTTATTTTTTTTCTATGAATTTTTTATCCCTAACTATCTCTAATTCTCCCTAAATACATGAACAACGCAAAATTTCATCGTCAAATTTTAATATATGTTTCATAATATTCATATAAATACTTATATAAATATGTAATAGAGTCAATAGCATTCAAAAAATATAAATACTTATATATTTTTTGATTTTTATTATTTTTATGTTTATATTCGTAATATATATTTTTCTTTTTTCTTTTTAACAACAGGTTACTACGTATAGCGAATTAATATTTTGTAAGAAAATTGTAAATGATAAGAATAAAAATCATTGAAAATTTGTAAAGATGTATTCAATTTAGAATTTCAATGACTTTTGTAGACTTTTTAAAATAAAAAGTTGATAAAAGTCTATAAATGTTTTTTGTATAGACTTTTAGAGAGTCTTATAAAGTTTTAAAAAGTTTTGAATGACTCTATAAAAGTCAATCAAAGTTTATTAAAATATATCATTTTAAAAGTCTTTAAAACTCTACAAAAGTCATGATTGAATACACCCCCTAATACTAAACTTAATATTATAAAATTTTAAATTAAAAATAACTTCAATTAAATTTCGTTAATGAAACAAATAAAATGGGACAAAAAATACTCCATATATAATAGAAACATTGATCATATTGAAAATTAAACATAAAAAATAGTAGGAATGCTTTGCACAAAACAAAAATAAAAACAATAGCAATTAATAAGTCTAGAGGGCATGAGGTTGGGCAGATCGAGCAGCACGAGCAATAGCAGCTTTTTGTAATGCCTTCAGCTTGTTTGCCTCCATACGAGCTCTTTGCTCTTCTGAGATTCCAATTACCTCTGCATCACTTGCCACATTACCGCTTGTTGGCTCTTTGCTTCCACTTTCATCACTCTTACGCTGTGGCTCATGAGTTGGTTCCTGTCCGTCATCCATCATGTCACAAATAATGAGTTACCAATATATAATCGCACTACACATAACTGCGCAAAATAAATACAGAGTATATGCATTCCTTTTGTCACACTAGTTAGTCTCTTGGAGTTACATTATTTTTGTATACCTTTTAAAACTTTTTTTTTTAATTCTATCCTTCTATTTATTTTAAAATCTATAAAAAATTTGAAGCCAAATGTCAAGAGACATGAATTTTTAAATAAATAGCAAAACTATAAAAATGATTATTTCTGAGTAACACTATTTGTTCATTATGGTACACTTCCATTACACTATTTTATTAGAGCAAGGTCAATGATTAAAACATTTTGGTGAGTTTTTGTCATGATTGTTGCCTAGTTGGATGAAAGAAAAAAAAAAATCAAAACAAAAAAGGCAGGCTTAACGGGCACATGAACAAAAAACTTTGTCTCAAAAACTGGAGAAAAATAAATCCCCAACGGGGGATGCCCTTAACATTTGAGGGCTTCTTTATTCTCAACCCTAGAATCCCTGTCAATTCAATGTTATTGCAATTGGCTTCCTTACATCCCCAGAAGCCTTTTCAACTGCAGTTGGTTTTTGCTCCAAGGATAACCTGCTGCACCTTTAGTGTAGCAGAAAAGTTTCCGGCAAATATCTCTAATCATTACAGGCTGTAGGTCACAAAATCACTTGCCAAATTGCAATTTAGCTCATTTTACTCCTAAAACAAGTTTTGTGTTTCCCCTTATTTCTTTTATGCACCCATGGTGTCTGCCCCATAAGGGACATAATAATTCTCCATCCCTATTTTCAGAAATAGGGAGTAGGAAAGAACTAAAGATGAAGATTCAGTTCCACACTATAGAGAATAATTTAACAACTACCCTTCTGGCCACAAAATTCATGGTTTTTGTAGGAACATTTTACTTATTAGACCTGAAAATATGAGGTAAAAGAAACATAGCTTACCAATAGTAATCACATAAACACATCAACTTCAGCAAACAATGCACTAGAACCGAACCCTATGATTTTAACCAGCAGAAACATGGTACTTACTTTCATTGCATTCTCCCAGACCTGATGAATCATTTCTTGCTCAAAGACATCTCCATCAAGGTTCATAACACCATCTTTCTGGAGAGAATTGGGTTCCTCTAAGCTCCTATTCTCTGAAAGAGAAACAAGTTGTGCATACAAATTTAGAAGTATTAGAATAAATATGTTGAATTCTGCAGTTCTAAAATGTCAAACAGTTAGCATTAAGATAAGAGGAAAAAAAATCATTTAATGGATTGTCTACATACGTCATAATCTAACCCTAGGTCCTATTCTTTCCCTAGACCCCGCTACTAAGAAGGATGCTCGTTTCTTAAAATCAAAATAAGGTGAAGGTGGTCAGTAATTAATAGTTATACACAAACAATTTCATGGTTACAGACTTATTTTGCATCCAGGGTTCCCCTCACTCCACTGAGAAATACACACACACACACACACACACAAGAACACAACACAAAGAGAATCTTTTTACAGCTTGCATGACTGGACTATTGAAGCAGCCAATTGCAAATACACATTAGTGAAACCTCACCAAATCTTTGTCACATTAGAGATAGAAGGGCACAATGAGAACTTTAAAGGTAAAAAATCAGGGAGGGAACTTTGAAAGATAGGAACATAGTTCAGTACTTAATTATATGGTAAATTAATGGCACAGTTAATAGCTAAGAGAAAACCAAGACTAGGATTATGGCCTAATTTGGAAGCTGGAAATGAATTTGAAGTTTGTGCAATGATCTAAAAATGCACCATATTGGCGTAGTTTTCTTTTTAACAGAGAATCTGAAAATGCAGTATGCAACTATGCTGGTAAGAAAGGGAAACGCTTTATGGAAGAGCACCTGATGGAGAATCATGTGAAATGTATCATTCAAGGGTATGTTTACTAGTCTTTGATCTAAGGAAATCTGAATAGACTTATGGAGTACAAATATTAATACAATTAGCAACAAAGACAGGCATTGGCTGTCTCAATTTCACAGTCCACTTGCATTTCAAATATAACCAATTAGTCAATTACAATGGGTGCAATGCACAAAAGCTGCTTTTTTTATTCTACAAGTCAATCAGAAAAGCTAGTGAATTATATATATTTCCCATTCTCAAATCATAAAGATGTATAGTAAGGTTAACAATTCCTAGCAGAGAACCTATACACTGTTACATTATTTCATTCTGTACTTAAGTGGTCGGTACCAAATTATGAAATAAGTTTATTTGAGATAGAGACTATATATGATGTGACATTACTTTATTTATTCATTGCTTAGGTGATTTGAATCAAAATTATGAAATAAGGTTGGGAGTAAACTAATTATTTACTAACAAATAGTCAAATATTCATAAAGATATTGATCTATGTGTACCTTGTTCCTTATTTGAGATCTGTTCTTGAACTTCAGGCTCATGGAGCTTGGCTGGATCAACTCCATTGGCAACCCTTTCCCGCAAATCTCTCAAACATAACTTGTGAACAAAGAATAAAAATATATTGGGTGAGAACATGTAACACTGATGAGCCTAAGCCTAGCCACTTCAAACAACATCACTTAGACAGAAGAGAGAAAGTTAGTAGTGAAGACTGAAGATGGAGCAAAAAATAACCAGGAAGCTTCAACTTATTTATAATGATATGTTAATGTTTGATTATGCAAATAACAAATTATGCATGCTATTTTTAAGCTTATAATCACATAAATCCATATTCCCATGCCAACATACATGTTCCATCTCAAATAAATTGTTTTATGCAACACAAACTTTAAACAAAGACCACAAAATGGATGCATGGGTTACCTTGACACGCTTTGAGGAACCAACTTCCTCAACCTTATGTACAAACTGATCAAAGGAGTAGTAGGGAAGTAAACGTGAATGCCAATCAGCATACAAGCCAAGTAGGTTTCTCAAATCAGTGACCTGCAGCAAATTCAACAAACTAAGCTTCCAATCTCTAACCACAGATGATAAAAGATGTAAATAAAAGATCACTGCTTCTTACCAGCATAGAGGATAATTAGAACAGGATCAACTAATGACATTCTTATGGCTTAGTTTTTGCTAAATCCTAATAGTACAGAAATGAGATCCAACAGGCAGGGGCAGAAGCCCCCAAATTTATTAATAGGTATATATGTATATATTATTTAGAATAAGGATAAAAAAATAAAAAATAAAAACTCTTTTGGCCCCCCTCTAAAAAAAATTTTAAAGTCTATTGTGTATAGATTAAATGAGCCCAAAATACATAAATTAAAGACCAAATTCACTAAAAAAAATAATAATAATAAACCAAGTAATCAAATCCACCATTAGCTTATTTCCAGACATCAAGTATCCAATTTAACTTCAAAAGTCTTCAAATTTGAGGTATATACTTTAATTTTATTAGTTGATTAATTAATCAGTGATTTATTGCATGTTTTTATTATTCATTAACACTTTTAGGATGTACATTTGCTAATTTAAAGGATTAGTTTTGAAATTGGCAAAAACTAATATTGGTTTTCTTAATTGTCCCTCAAATTTTACAATATTAGTTAATAAGATAAGTAAAATAAATATCATTTAATTATCAACAAGATTGTTGTCAACAAAATAATTGAAAACTTTTATTTGATAAAAAACAACAAGAAAGATTTAAATAAATGTAAAACTTTTTATTATTGTACATATTTTGTGTTATGTTAAAAATTCAAAAGTAACAATTGGCATGAGTGTTGATAGTGTAATAATTATGTATTTCACACATTGCATAGTGTCATTAGAAATCATTGTCAATAATATTTGATACAATCATGTATGGTATAAACAATGCTATTCGGTATGGTTGGTACCGATGACATTGTAATTTTTCTCTATAATTTGGCCCCCCAACATAATTTTTATGGCTCCACCCCTGTAAACAGGGGACCATAATTCGTACAAATTTCAAATTTGTTACCATGAAGGAAACAACACAACATGCTAGTTTATATTTTACATTATACTAGTATTATTAACAATGGCAGGATAGATCCAGTCAAATCCCACACCAGTGACATTTATATACTTTTGAATGGTATTGATGTAGGAAGTGGAAGTCACTAGATTCTGAAAAAACACAAGCATAGAAAGTATGGATTATATCATGAATCCATCTAAACTGTAAGTAAAAACCTGAATTCATTCTTTAAAAAAGAGATAACATATTTAAAATTGTAGTAAATGTCAAGTTTTCCACATAATTTTAATAAACTATCCGCAATAATGAACATAAATTCAATGAAATTGAGGGCGGATAAATGGGAAGATTAGTAATACCTCGTGCCCACGGCCATGGTACTTGAAAGCACGAGGAAAGTGGCGGAGGATGTGGCCGAGTCCGTCGTCGGAAAGAAGGGAATCAGCAGTCAGTTTGGGCCGCGTCCTCGTGCCCATCTTCAGTTTTGAAGAACTGCCGCCGGCGCTTGAGTTGGAAGGGTACGGCGCCGATTTGCGAGTAGACGTGTATGTATTATGAGGAGTAGAAGTGGAATTGTTAGGGTTATTGCCATTACTGGGATTGGAAGGGCAGTCCCTGGACCAGTGGCCGGGGCGGCCGCACTTGTAGCACCCTGTAGGAGCTGCTCCACCGCCGCCGCCTTTCTCCATTTCTCCAATACGATGTTTTCCTCCTTTTCCCCTTTAAATTTGCCCTGTGTAGCTGTGTAAGTCGAGAAGGCGGGGATATGATTTTTATGCCTGCTGTTTTGGCGGGAAACTGTGAGAGGGAAGGAAATAAACTGGTACAAAAGTGAATCGTGTTTTTAACAAAACTTTCCTTTTATTTTTTTATTTTTTTATAGATAGGTTTTTTTTTTAAAACCAAGTCATTAGATTAAAGCAAACTCAAGATACAATAAGGCGGTATAGTTTCCCACACACTAAGGACCAGTTGTCTGTGTTAACACATGAGTCACCTGATTCACTGACCTTTTGATATGGTGAACCAACACGTTCTCAATGTCATTAGCAATGAACCTACATTGCTTAACAACTAAATCAACATACGACAAGTCATGTTTAACATAATTAAAACTATAACAAAAATTTAAACAATCTGACTCAATAAAATACATAGTTTTTGGACGACTCTTAAGCCATGACAGAGCTTCCTTGAAAGCCAGGGCCTCAGCTAAATAAGCATCACATACCCTCATTAGCATCTCACCGCAAGCTGCCACGAATTCACCATTATGGTTTCTTATGACTGCACCAAAGGAAGCCACGTGATCGTGAACAGCAACATCTACATTACACTTTAAATAGCCCAATGGTGGCGGCACCCAAACGGCTCCAGGTTGTACATGTTGATTAGGGGTGATAGAGTGTGGCGATAGAGCCACCTCCCATGCTGTGAGTTATGAATCCACATATTTACACATCTCATTGATGTTCCACTGTTTTTCGTTCCGCACCTTCTACATAACCCAAAACATGCACGCCATTGTTAATCCTCGAGCTCCATATGGGTTGCGCAGGTTCTCCTGCACAAAATTAGCAAAAGTCTCACCATGCATCACGTCACCTACACCCCATAATTGGCGTGCCAGAGGACACTCACATAGGATATGATAAATGGTTTCCAGAGTCGCGGCACAGATAGGGCAGCCACCCCCAACATAAACTCTCTTAGTCTTTAGGACCTTTCGAACAGCGCCAAATAAAATTCTTAACCTTTGGAGGAACCCTCAACCGCCACAGTTTGTGCCATTCCGATGAACACTATACTATGTTGCGTCACATTAGCCTGCACCAACTGTCGGTATCTATGCTTCACAGTGTACTGGCCCCGAACATCATACCTTCAATACCACGCATCGCCATGCTCCGTCGAAATTGGGGTATGTTGTATCCTGCTAACATCTCTCAGTAAAAATATGTATCTCAGTAAGTCAACATCCCATGCACCTTCATTAGTCATCATATTGCTTACCTTTGCGTCTCTCAAATCCTCGATACAGCCAGTATCCAGATTAGGATCACCACATCTGTCAACCAGCGCGCTCCCCATACCAGTGTGTCCTTCCCGTCACCTATCCTGCGACCAACCCCCTCCCTTAACATATGCTGAGCCGCCAAAATACTCCGTCATATGTAGTTTGGATTATGCCCCAAAGTCGTCGCAAAAAATCATTGTACGGGAAGTACCTAGCTTTAAGAATTATGCACACAAGATAGTGAGGATTCGTGAGCATCCGCCACCCATGTTTAGCTAATAAAGCAATATTAAACTCATGCACCTTTTTAAACCCCAAACCACCCCCAACTTTCGGTATAGTTAGATGTGACCAACTCATCTAATGAATTCCCTTCCTCTCGTACACACCACTTTCCCACCAAAATCGATTCATAATATTTTCAATAGCCAAACACGTTGATTTTGGCAATAGGAACACTCACATGGCAAAAATTGGCATAGACGAGGCTATACTCTTCAATAACACTTCTTTCCCGGCTTTAGACGATAGTTTATTCTGCCATGTTGACACCCTTTCCCCGACTCGCTGTTCAATATATCAAAAAACTGAAGTCTTATTGCGACCCAAAAACGATGGTAGCCCAAAATAATTACTAATCTGCGTAACTTGCGTGACACCAAACAAACTTGTAACATGGTGTCTCGCGTCAGGTTTCGTATTTTCACTGAACATAATAATAGACTTATTAAAATTAATAGCCTGACCTGATGCTGCACAATAAGCATATAAACAATTCTTAACCTTAGTCGCCTCCTTGTCGTTTGCTCTGAAGAAGAGCAAGTTGTCATCCACACAAAATAAGTTACGTCTAAGTCATACGTAAATTATTTTATTTTAAAAATTAATCAAAATAAATTATATATTTTTAATTCAAATAAATTAATAATTTAAAAATAAAAATAATAAAACGTCTGGTGACCTCTTCTTCGTCTTGTTGGACGGAGAAGACAACAATGGCTTCTCCGTCTAACTAGACGTAGAAGCCAATCTAGCTTCTCCGCCCAGTTGGACGGAGAAGTTGGTCATGGCTTCTTTGTCCAGTTGGAAGAAGCCGGCCTGGCTTCTACGTCCATTTGGACGAAGAAGCGATCATGGCTTCTCTGTCCAATTGAACAAATAATTCAGTTTGGCTTCTTTATCCAGCTGGACGGAGAAGAATGCCATTGCTTATCCGTCAAGTATATAGGCCAATATTTTATTCTTTTTTGCAATTTTTTTAAAAATCAGTCTTATGTGATATTTCATTGTGTTTGCCTGCAAATTGAACTAATTGCACAAATTTTAAAAGTTTTTGACTTAATTGCATACAAGTGAAGCGATGAATGGCCTAATTAGAGTTTTTGTTAGTTTATGAGGCTAATTATACTCTGACTTATAGTTGAAGAACATATTAGACCCTTTTTTTTTTCTTTGTTTTTCAAGTTAATATGTCTCATTATCCTCCGAGTATTGAGGTATTGGTTCTAAATTTTTAAATTGACTAGAGACATTTCCTTCGAATCTAAAAAGCTGACATCTCGTTGTCATTTGTTTTGTAAATCTGTGAATTTAAGTGTTAAAATGGAAGACAACAATTATATAGAGGACTGTGCGGACAAATATTGGACACACAACAAATTACTACCAGACACACAAGTATACATGTAAATATCAGGTTTCGAATTCAGGCTCTATTAATTACAAATTTATGCACGCGACATACAAACTGTGGCACACGACTACATTCGGCCATGCACATGATATACAGGGTAATGACACACACTACATCTGTCTCATAGTCCTCTATAATATACTTGTCCTCATTTGAACACACACACACACACACACACACACACACACATATTCCCTCGTTCGTCCTAATTAGCAAAGCTCATTCAACATTTGTGCGCCAGTTCGCGCCAAGGCAGACCGCCTTGAATCGCGCCCATGATGCTCCGCACCGGCATGCCTTTCCCGCGTTTGTACGCCAATCACTTGGACTGCGCCCCTGGATTTCCTGGAGCGACATGGCTGAGTCTATACCATACCAAGCCGTTCCGCACTAATGCGCCCAAGTCCTGGCAGCATCGAGCAAACCAACAAGCCAGCGCACAAGACCTTGTGCAAATTCGCACAAACTTACTTTTAGAATCAATAACTGCTGAGACTAACTTGCACAATTTTTTTTTTTATTTTTTTTTTGGTATAGTCAGATTTTTCACCGTCGAACATAGTGACTAATTCCCTCGTTAGATTGTAGCACCTCGTTTTGGTGGGACAGCTAGCCTGCAGATTTAACTTGCACCCTAGGTTTATAGAAACACTCATTTTAAAATTAATTTTAGTCTGGAAGATGGCAACAACATCTTCCATTTTCCCTTGTATTGAATATCTTCCAAAAGGGTGAACCCCAACTTTAAGAGCCCCCCATACCCCGATCCGACAGAGCATTTGGGAGGATGTAAATCATGGTGACTCAACTGAACATGAACCATAGAGGCTAGACCAGTGCTATTAAATGTGATATTAAAGAATAATTATGATTATGATATGCAAGTAACCTTTCAACAAATTTCAAGACATTTAAATCTCATTTGAATTCTAAAAAAAAAAACCAAAACGACTGTGTTTTTATAGATTATGGAGGAACATCACCTTTGGAAGAATGACTCTCCCAAGGTCATGAGTTTGGTGGTATTGAACCCCTAAAAAAAAAATTAAACACAAAATACAAGGCGTTCAAAATTAATTCACTTCCCCCCACACACTCCCTCTGCGGCGCAATTTCTCTAAGACGTCGACGGCCTTCTCTCACTCGCCGCCGCTTCAAACGCCTTGCCCCTGGGTTGGCCGTCGCGGTAATTTATCGATTTAATATCTTGTGCTAGGTATTTAGATGATTTTGTAATTTAAAAATGTGCACGGCCATGAAAGTGTTTGTGTTTGTACTGAAACAGATGTATTAGTTTCAAATCTATTATTATATTAATTTATAATAGATGTACTGAAAGTCTGAATATACTTGCTAGTTTGTTAATATTTTGTTAATTTCATTTTCCTGGCTGATAATGGATTCGTAGAGCATTTTCCTGTTGAATTTGCAATTGCCAGTAAGTACTCACTTAATTTGCCAATAATTTTCTGCTCATTTGCACTTCTGTATTTATTTTAATTCACACCCCTAGTTAAACCCTACTCTTTATTCAATCCTCCTATGCAGTACTGCTTCCCTTTTTACTCCTGCCTCAGTGCTCTGCCAACTGAGTTTAGGAATGGGGGTGGAACAGGTTCTGAGTACAGCTGACAGAAGTTCACATGAAACCACACCAGAAACAATCAAGGCCCTGCATGAGGTATCCAATTAACATTTATTGAGTAGTTGGTGAATAACTTTTCGGCGATGTTTGAGGATTTACTTGAAAAGTGTTAAACAATCTTATCTATTGAAATTGTGATTTCTACTAGTTGAATTGATTGTTTCGGGTTTTAGGGTTAATTTTGAATATTGGATTCTATCATCATTCTTAGACTCTAGGATTTGGCTGAGCTCACTTAGCTGTAATGCACATGAACCAAACCACACTAAAAGATTAAATCTAATTAATTAGCTAGCTTAACTATGACCTTATAAATTCATATATTTCTCTCTTATTTTTTAATGTGGGACTCTTAACAATCAAGTCAATCATGATTAACACTTCTTCTAAAATTAGTCTTAGAATTTTACTTTTAACCCATACTTACATTGTGCACCATGAGACATCACATTGTAATCTTCTTCATCACACTTGAATAGTAAGTTTTTTTTTTTTTTTTTTTTTTAATAATAAATATAATAAATAATCCCCATTGAAATGACACGGATTTATTATTTATATTGAATTGAATTGCATGTCATTTGAATTGAACTCCACAGCCTCCACTTTGATGTCATTGTGGGTGCACCAGTCTTTGGAAGCATTGGTCATTGGTGCATGCTATAGTGATTGCTAAAAAGTTACAAGGATAACTATATTACATCCTTGAATAATAGAATTCTTGTCACCCTTTCTTTGAAATAGAAGGGGAGGTTATGTGGATTCTAACATGAGCTATCATTTATCATATGCCTACCCTAGTGATTTGGTGATGCCACATTGTATGATGGTTATGTGCATTTGCTAGCTAAATTTGATTGCTTGAACTTTTATGTTGTATGGATGTTTCATCGACAACTTGCAATGGACGAGTCAACAGACCCTAATTAGGTTATCAATGTGTCTGTATGTTGGAGAATCTTATTTCACTTTGCAACATTCTTATTTCTCTTTTCTTTCGAGTGATATTAAGACACCAAAGGATGGCAGTTATATGGTTAGACATAATTTTCTCATCTTCGGCTCAATATATGTAGTTTACTAGTTTAGTGGTCATTTTCTTGGCCTTCACTGCCTATGAAATCAATTTTGTTCTTGCATGGAAAAAGAAAATTTTAAAATGATATAACCAGTGTTTCAGCTCTTACATTGGATCCTTGGTAGGAATGTAGGATAATGTAGTTTTAGTTATTTCAGACTACAAGAACTAAACCTGGGCATAATAAACATGTTGTAAAGGCTGTAAGCTTTCAACTAGCTTGTTTATCTGTTATTAGCCACCAAGAACTTTGCCTAGTGTGGTTACACACATGGTGGTGCACTGGTAAACCGCTTTGTGACCCCATTTCAGACAATTTCTACCTGAAAACAGGGTTCTGGTTTCTGGTCTACAAAATAACCAAAAAAAAAGAGGAGAATTTCTCCCCTAGGTGGCGAGCAGACAGAATCCATGGGAAACCCGATGTGCTTCGAGTGTCTGCAGCGGTGCATCAGAGAGGACCTATCAGATAGGCTCATCTTTTGCTATGGCCTCTCCGATTCTCATCTTCCCTTTGGATCCACTGCCGTAGTTCGGGTATTCCTGCACCTGCAAATATATAATACAGCTTATGATTTCGTAAGCTTCTTACTAAGTATTATACTCGTTTCATGCTGTTGCAGCTGGAGAGTTCGAGCGCAGAACCATCTCCTGAGTTTGTAGTCAAGTATGTGCCGTACCAAAAAGGGGATTGTTTGGCAAAATTCATGTATAGTAATCTTTGCGCTGCTCTCTTTTTTTTTTTTTTTTTTTTTTTTTTTTTTTCCTGTTTAAACAATTAATCAAAATATTGTCGTTAAGCTCCAAAAAGAAACAAACAATAAATAGTAAACAAATGTGAAATTCAAAGTGTTAATAAGCCGATAAAAAGAGAAGTTAGTACCATTTGCTTATATGAAGAATTTGAATTGATATTATCTGTATCCATGCCTTCCATGGTATGATCGATTCAACTACTGTCTCTGTTTGGCAGTGATGAGCATTGTTCGCAACTTCTTGAATTTGGTGACAGTAACAATGCAGTGCTATTTGAAAAAGATCATGATCAAGCAGAGGCCAGTATTGGACTTTCTGGTGATAAAACTACTTCCTTAGATAATACATCAACTGAATGTCAAGATTTCTTGAAAGGTTGCAGAAATACATCCACTTATGGATTAGGGTGTGAAAAGTTGACCTGCAAATTTTTTGGTAGGTTTTCTTGTTTCAGGGCTTTCACTGCCCTGGTTCCAACTGCTCAGATTGGCATTTCTCCATACCCATTGTTTGAAGATCTTGCTTCACACTTCTTGTCTGGGTCTATTGAAGATCATATTTTACGTTCCCTTACGCATCTGGTAGAAGGTAAAGCTTCTGGACGAGATAGTGTAAATTTTCTTAGGCTTGTTGGGACACCTTCATTCACTGAGAATAACTTTCCTGGTTGTATAAGACATCCCAACATTTCACCAATTTTTGGAATGCTAAAGACATCAAGTCAAATCTGTTTGGTGCTCCCAAAAACTGCTCATACCCTGGAAAATGTCATACATTACAGCCCAGGTGCCTTGAAGTCTGACTGGCATATGAGATTTCTGATCTACCAGTTACTTTCTGCACTAGCTTACATGCATGGTTTAGGGGTTACCCATGGTAATCTCTCCCCTTCCTGCATAGCACTCTTTGATTTGTCTTGGTGTTGGCTGCCAATTGCGGATAAGTTCCTCCTAAGTTCTTATTCAAGTGCAATAGCTGAAGCATGCAAATGCCTTTCACATAGCGGTTTTGATGCATGCTTTTCTCAAGGACTTTATGCAGATTTGAGGCTTTCCCAGTATAAAGATTGGCATTCAAGCTTCAATAGATGGTGGAAAGGTGAAATAAGTAACTTTGAGTATCTCCTAATCTTGAACAAATTAGCTGGAAGAAGATGGGGTGATCATGCCTTTTATACCGTAATGCCATGGGTTGTTGATTTTTGTGTAGAACCTGATGAGAATAATGATGCTGGGTGGCGAGATTTATGTAAGAGCAAATGGCGGCTGGCAAAGGGTGATGAACAGTTGGACTTCACATATTCAACATCTGAAATCCCACATCATGTGTCAGATGAGTGCTTGTCTGAACTGGCTGTCTGCAGCTATAAGGCAAGGAGATTACCTTTGAGTGTTCTGCGAATGGCTGTTCGTTCAGTTTATGAACCAAATGAGTATCCTTCAAACATGCAAAGGCTCTATCAATGGACACCTGATGAGTGCATTCCAGAATTTTACTGTGATTCACAAATATTTCATTCCATACATCCTGGTATGTCTGATTTGGCAGTGCCTTCATGGGCAGGTACTCCCGAACATTTTATCAAGTTGCATAGAAATGCTTTAGAAAGCAATCGAGTTTCAAGCCAAATTCATAATTGGATCGATATCACCTTTGGCTACAAAATGTCTGGCCAAGCGGCTGTTGCTGCCAAGAATGTGATGTTGCCTGCATCAGTGCACATGATACCGAGGTCAATGGGGCGCCGTCAGCTTTTCACTAGACCACATCCTCCTCGTCTTGTTGGTACCATAGCAATTTGTGACCGGACCAATGGATCAACTATGTGTGAGAAGCCTGTAAGTTATGTGGCAGGGGAAGCTTCATTTTTGCAAGAACTGGAAGAAGCAACTTTGTTTAGTGAGCATTCAAGGATGTTGAGCCCCCTTTATTACCCACATCTAAATGATGCCATAGAACTTGACTGTTCTGTAATAAAGCATTCAACTAAGAATACAGAATACCCAAAGTCCAGTGCGGATGGTGATAGCAGCAACTTTATCATGCCTTCAGTTACTGATTTGAATTACCTTCTCAAGAATATTGAAGTTGGTGATGACACATCTGTGGGATACCAAGAGCTACTGCTATGGAGACAAAAATCTTCTTTTTCGAGTACTGCTTCTCAAAATGCTTCGAATGACATATTTGCAGTTGGATGCATCTTAGCAGAACTGCACTTGAGAAGACCACTTTTTGATCCAACCTCGTTAGGTGTGTACTTGGAGAGTGGTGTCTTGCCTAGAATGATGCAAGAACTCCCTCCTGAAACTCAAGTATTCGTTGAAGCTTGTGTTCATAAGGACTGGAGGAGGTATAGTTCTCTATATTTATTCCCAGTTCCAACAGCTTAATACTTTGTATAATGGGTTTATAAAATCTAAAGGAGTCTATCTCTGTTCAAACAATCAGGAGGCCTTCTGCAAAATGTCTTTTGGAATCTCCATACTTCCCCTCGACCATCAGGGCATCCTACATATTTCTTGCACCCCTTCAACTTCTAGCGACAGATAAATCACGTCTATGTTATGCTGCAACTTTTGCAAAAAAAGGAGCGTTTAGAGCAATGGGGCCATTTGCTTCTGAAATGTGTGCTCCCAACTGCTTAAAATTTTTATTGAATCCTTTAACAGATGCTGAAGCTGAATGGGGTTGCATAATACTGACTGAGTTTTTGAGGTGTCTGAATCCAATAGCAATAAAGAAGCTACTTGTACCTGCAATCCAGAAGATTCTACAGGCTAGTTTGCTTTTAAACTTTATTTTTAAATATATCCTCTCTAATTAGACTTTTCATCATTTTGCTTCTGCATGTATTTATGTATTATCTTTGTCCAGGCTGTAGGTCCTTCACACTTGAAGATTTCTATTCTTCAAGGCTCATTTGTGCAGGAAATATGGGACAGAATTGGAAAACAAGCATATTTGGAGACAATACATCCTTTAGTGATATCCAACTTGTTTCTTAGTTCTCATAAGACTTCTGCTGCTGCTGCCTCTGTTCTATTGATCGGTTCTAGTGAAGAGCTCGGCATACCAATTATGGTTCATCAGGTTCTAGTGTTTGACTTTTCCATTTTTTCTTTTGTAAATCTATTAAAGCTATTTGACCCCTCCCCCCAAACCAAGAGAGATACAGAGATTATAAACACTGTGCATTTATACTACAGAGTATGTTCAAAAGTTGGTAATTCTCAACTTTATGGCTATCCTGTTCAATCTCGCAGACAATTATGCCTCTCATCTACTGTTTTGGCAAAGGGCTTTGTGATGATGGAACTGATGTCGTGGTTAGAATTGGTATTTATGACTTCAATTAAAAGTTTAACATTATTTCAGGAAATATGCTTCTTTAACTTAAAAAGATTTTGTGCACTTCAATTAAAAGTTTAACATTATTTCAGGAAATATGCTTCTTTAACTTAAAAATATTTTGTGCACTTCTCATCTTTCAGGGTGTCTTATTGGAGAAAACTTCATTGTCAAACAGATTCTTCCGTTACTAAGAAGTGTCATCCAATGTTGCATTGATAATTCAAATGCAAATAAGCCTGAGCCTATCCAGAGTTGGAGTGCTTCAGCTCTAACAGATTGTTTGACAACTTTAGATGGTCTTATTCCATCTTTGCCAAGGGAGATGATTGTTAGAGAACTCATTGAAGTATGCAGTTAAAAAATAAACGAATAAGAAGTAGAAGATGGCTGCAGCTGCTAATCATGTTTTATAATTTTTGCAGGATGGAAAATGCCTACATCTTCAGGTTCTCATGCAGGACAATCTGGGTATTCAGGTGCTTCAGGTATTTCAAAAGTTTTCTTATTTTTTCAAAATTGAATCTCATTAAAATGTTACTATGTAGAGATTGAGTTTAATACCTGAGTTCTTTTGTCTGAAAGGTCACATCAAGAAGTCTCATTGCAATTTGTCAGCAAATTGGACCTGATTTAACTACATTGCATGTCCTTCCAACACTCAAAGAGTTATTTGATGACCTTGCTTTCTCCCAGGAGAAAACCAATCGTTCTGAAATTCAGGGAGGAAAGCTAAGAGTGCCAAGGATACAGGCAGGAGAATACACTGATAAGGGAAGCTACACAGACATTGTGTGAGTTACTTTTGAGATTACAATTTGTAGAAATCAAATCTAGTATATTGAAGCATTGTGATGTATTCTTCTGTTGCCAGGCTTGCTAGTATTTTATTGTTTCACTTGTTATAATAAACTTGTAGGTTGTTTTTGTATCCATCATTTGCATCTCTTCTTGGTATTGAGAAACTCCGCCAATGTTGTACTACGTGGTTGCTACTGGAGCAGTTTCTTCTACGGAATTATAATTGGAAGGTATACCATCTCATGCATTTGTGTGATGGGGATTCTTAAATCTTAATTTGGAGAAAGACCAGTGAGGTATCCCTAATATAAATATAAGAAGTTCAAGGAAAACCTTCTTGAAGAGGGAACATTATTGATTTACATTAGACATAATTACTTTTCATATACTGAATTCCATTTTTTTTCCTTTTGTGCGTCACTTTCTGAAATCCCATGTGGATTCTTAATTTAGAGAAAGATCAGCGAGGTATCCCTAATATAAATATAAGAAGTTCAAGGAAAACCCTTCCTGAAGAGGGAACATTATTGATTTACATTAGACATAATTACTTTTCATATACTGAATTCCATTTTTTTCCCTTTGTGTGTCACTTTCTGAAATCTCATGATTAAGTGGGAATCCATCTCGGAGTCTTCTCGATGTCGTGCAGAAAATTCATATGCTAGAAGACCAACAGTTGGTGAGAGCTTTGTATCCGGCTATTCCCCTGCTAACATGTTGCTTAAAGGGGCAGGGTGGTCAACACCGCAATCACAAGGACATATAGGTACCAAAAATTTAGTCCCAAATAAAAATTTGTCCAATCATCATCCAAATTCCGGAGAGAGGCAAGCTGGGGGCTCAGATTTTGGTACTCTTCAACCCTGGTATTGGTTCCCTGGCCCAATGGCTAGCTCTGAGAGGCCTGATCTTATTGGCCGTCATGGAGGTCCAAAAGATGAATTTCCTTGGAAAATTCGAGCATCTATTCTGCATTCTGTTCGAGCACATCATGGAGTGCTAAGATCTATAGCAGTTTGCCAAGATGAATGTAGTATTTTCACAGCAGGAGTTGGTGCAGGTTTCAAAGGAACTGTTCAGAAGTGGGAGCTTTCAAGGGTGGATTCTGTTTCTGGCTACTATGGCCATGAAGAGGTGGCTTCATTTATCTTAATATTTTTAATGCTTTGGTACTAGTAGTTTGCTTGTAAACCTGATAGCTTCTATTAGCTTTCTGCATAATTAATTTTTTATCTGGAGGGATTAAAATACACTCCATAAAATTCTTGGTTGTTTGATTTCTGTCTTTTTCTTTTCAGTAAATTTATATTTTCTCCTATTTCCAGGTTGTGAATGATATTTGTATTTTGACGTCTTCCGGTAGAGTAGCTTCGTGTGATGGGACTGTACATGTTTGGAATGGACAAACAGGGAAATTGGTTTCTGTTTTTTCTGAGTTCTCAAATTCTATGGATATTAGAAGGCCTCCATCGAATGCTTCAAAGTCAAATGCAGACCAGGCAAACACTCTCCATTTCAACTCATTATCTAGTGGAATATTAAATACAGCATTTGATAGTAGTTTGTACACTAGTATGCATTACTTGGAATTTCTTAATATGCTTGCAGTGGGTACTGGAAATGGTTCACTCCGGTTAGTGATTTTCTTTTCCTCCTGATTTGGATCTTTTGTTGATAATTATAAAATGATTGTACAGCTCTCAGTTTACCATTATACTTATGGCATGCAGATTCATTGATGTCAGACAAGGTCAAAAGCTTCATCTCTGGAGAAGTGAGGCTATTGAATCCAACTTTCCTTCCCTGACTTCATCCATTTGCTCGTGTGGTTCTACTGAAGTTCAAGTCGATGGAGCAACTACCTTTCCATCTTGGATTGCAGTTGGACAAAGTTCTGGTCATTGTAGGTTATTTGACCTAAGGAGCGGTAATATTATTGCTTCATGGCAGGCTCATGATGGATTTGTGACAAAGGTATTGCAGACTATTTCTTGCATTGATGTAGGCAGAAAATGTCATATGTGGCTTCATTTCTTATGGACAGAAACCTTAGTTTTGCTTACATAGTTGCATGCAATGTGGCTTGTTGAATGCCTGCAGTTAGCTGCACCAGAGGCACATTTGCTTATTTCAAGCTCCCTTGACCGGACGTTAAGAATTTGGGACTTGAGAAGGTAACACTTCAATTCTGTTGTATGCTCTTCAGCCAGTTGAATTATGGTGAATTGGCATGGAGCCTCTCCCAGGCATAATTTGGTTTTCGTTAAATGAAGTTGTCCTATAAATTATATCTTGGCACAATAATGATGTAAGTGCACGACTTCTCCCAAAAATAAAAACGAACTTACATGGGTTTATGTATCTCTTAAACATTGCTTTCTGCGTCAAAATTCCTGAGGTCTTATTCCACTAGCTATTTGAATGTTTAACACCTACTTGGTATTCAGTGACTTTCCATTCTGAGAATGGATTGGAGAAGGGCCTTAGCTCTTTAATGTTTTTCCCCTGTAAAAATTAAAATTAAAATTAAAATTTGTTTAATTCTTCCTGTTTCCTCTTGAAAATGAACCTGGAAGTTTGACTTCTCTCCCTCCTTGAGGTATTCATCAAGCAGCAAAATCAAGGTTTTGATTGCGAAGGGTGCAATGTTCTTCTAACTTAATACAATTTGTTAGGCCTTACGAGAGCTTTCCTTTTATTATCCTCTCTTTTTCTTTATTTTCACTTTACAGGAATTGGACATCAAAACCTTTGGTTTCCCGAGGACATAGTGACGGTGTATCTGGTTTCTCAGTTTGGGGACAAGATGTGATTTCAATATCCAGAAATAAGATTGGACTTTCTTGTTTAGCTAGGTCTGCAGATGAAGTATGTATATGCAACTGTTGCTGTGATGAAAGTTCACTTTTGTTTTGTTTTCTAATGATTACCTTGTACCAAATTGACATTTAATGTGCTTTTTCTTTTGGTGTCTTGGCAAAAGCATCCCAAGCATATAACTAATTAGAATCTTTAGGGTGTTTTTATAGTTTCATTTATCTTTATGCTTGGATATTGACATGCAGCAAATTTGGTGTTGCAGGAAGGGCAACATGTTGTTCCTCAGTATTTATACATGGGAGATGGGGAATCGAGGAACATGTCTGTGTTATCGAGCATAAGTATCCTGCCTTTCTCTCGGCTCTTTGTGGTTGGCACAGAAGATGGTCATTTGAAAATCTGTTGCTAGACCGGCTGTTGGCATGGCATACAATGAATTCTTCTGTCAGTCATGCAATTGCTTCATTTTCAAGTAGTCTCCGATCTATGAAAGCGTGCTGATTTAAGTACACCATATTTTCTGCTTCCATTTCAATACTGGATTGTTTCTGCTTTCAGTATTTGTAAAGCATAACCAATTAAATTAAATTATATGCTTATTTTAATCCTGGACAAATTTTTACGACAATTCAATAATTTTACTATATTAATCTCATTTTCTTATTAAAAGTAGAAAAAAAATATCAAATAAGTCATTAAACTTGTTAACTTTGTGCAAAGAGGTCATTAAACTTAAAACCCGTGTAATTAAAGCATCAGACATTTAAAAGTTATGCAATTTTTATATTTTACCAGTTAATTACCGGTTGAACCATTAAGTTATGTAATTTTTATATTTTATCAGTTAATTAGCGGTTGAACCAGTAACATCAATTATTATTGCATAAACCATGGTCCACACAATTATGTGGACTATAAATAAAAAGTACATTTTTAATATATTAAGGTTACATTATTTTTGTATGTAAGGTGCATTTTTTGAAAGTACATTTTTAATGTATTCTTAATATATTAAAAATGTACTTTTTATTTATGATCCACACAATTGTGTGGACCATGATCCATGCAATAATGATTGGTTGGAGTTTGAAAGTTTGGAAGAATGATCAGGGATCGAGTTTTATCAGCGGCAGTGTGGAAGCAACCTCTCAAAGTGAGGGAGTTCTTTGTGCGCAGTGAGTAAAGGTCTAGCCTATGTGGTTCATGTTCAGTTGAATTACCATAATTTACATCCTCCAAATGCTCTGTCGGGTCGGAATGTGAGGGCCCTTAAGATTGAGATTCAACCTTTTGAAAGAATGATTGGTTGGAGTCACACCCGGTGCTACCTTGCCATTCCATATGCAAATGGACTTTCCACAAACAAAAGATTAATTTGTCCTTAAATAACAACCTTTTCCTTTTTAAAATACTAATTAACATTAAATTAATGAAACATTAAATTAATGAAGGTCATTGATCTTTTGTTTTATATGACTAAGATATGTTTTCATATTCTCATATAACTTCACGTTCTCACTTAAATTATAGCTCTCATACAATCCTCAATTGTTATAGTTCTCATATGATCCTCAATTATTATAGTTCTCATATGATCTTCAATCTACACAACAATCAGCTATATAAATACAATCTAAAATGAATTAAAAAAACCCCTCCTAGTCAACACAGCGATGACAAGGGAGAGAACTTCACTAAAGCTTAAAACCTGCGTTTTATATATATACAGAAAGGGAAGACATACAAGGAGAACTTCTCACGCATTTGCATTTACAGTACGACTAACCAAATTTTGTAAGGCATCATATCATTTGGTGCACACAACACACTTCAATTCAAATCAAATTCCTAACCTCTTTACACCACATTCCGAGCAGTATTTAGAGGTTTCCCTCAAATAAGGAGCTCCGCATTCATCACAGAACTTGGCAGGACTAGTTGGCTGAAACAAAGTATTGACACAAGACATCTTAAAGTAGTGCATGGAAGAAAATTAGCAGGCTATTGCTATTATTATTTTTATGTTAAGCAAAACATCTCTCTCATCCAACTAAACATAGTGTTCATAGCGCTTAAAAATGAAAATCTCAAGCAACTCATAATATTTTCAAATCAAATTTCAAAGGAACCAAGAAAGCTCTTGCAAAGGGAAGACATAGACTAACACCTACCCCTCAATGCAGTTAGGAATCCCCTACAATTATAAACACTCGCCAAAATAACTTTCACAACAAGACTATAATTAGTCAATCCCTAATTATATGCTCCATAAAATATGCAAGGATTTACATAATCAATCAATCCCTTATTCTATGCTTCCTTGAATTCATTACAAGAATGATTATTTGATTACTTTCCTTTCCTGCATGATTTGTATCATTACCGATTGCTAATGAAGCAACCTTGTCCTCAAGGCTAGAGTGCAAAACATGATGTTGTGTAACATTCCCAAGTTGTGACCCATGAAAAGCATGGTGTACTCTAAATGTGCGTGGCAACGCGCATTTGTAGGCAATAGCCCCTAATATTTGCAAAATTCAAAGAGGCCCATAACACCACAGAGGGCATAGCGTTGATATGACGTTGGATTGTAGAGTGGCAATGAGGTTGGAGCTTAAGCAGGACATTATTACCCTTAGCAAACTCTAAGTCACACCTTTTGGCTTGGGCCATCTTGGCCCTTCGATGTTGAACGCAATCTAGATAGAACCAGAGTAGCTTGGCAAAAAAGTCGACAAGAGCCTTGGTGGTGAATGGATGACAATATGACATAGACTTGTGCTTGGTATTCATTAACAAGAGGGGTGGGGAGATCACTATTGAATTTTTCCATGAGTAAAGTTCAATGTTGGGGTTTGTTGTTGTGACACACGGAATGTTGGTCCTTCCTTACTAACAAAGGCTGTTGTGCCCTTCAATTCTTCATGTGTTTGCTGGATAGCAAAGGAATGCTCTTCTTGAGCAAGACACCAATACAATCACTTTGATCAAATCCCATTGAAGTTAGGAACTTCAATCCTCATGGTAGTGAGTTGGGGGCCACTTGTGGTGGTGGGGTAAATAGGTGGTTTGATGGTGTTGGATTTTTCTATCAGGAATTCAATCTTGGAGCCAGCCTTGGTGACAAGACTGGATACGTCATGCCCATTACTATGCAGCCACAAGGTAACCACCTTGGTTAGTTTAGAGATGGACTCCTCCAACTTGGTCAATTCTTGACACACAATTTAGTGTGTCGTCTCTAATGCTTGAACTCTTGAGTCCGAATTTTGTCGTGTTGGTTGGCAGGTCGGACCAATTGATACGAGTAAAGAGACAAGATGAATTTGAACCAAGAAATCTAGGATATTATGATATTATAAAGTAAAATCAAAGGAAAGAAAAACAAGGGAATTCGAAGAATATCCCTCCAACAAGAATAAATTCTTACCCACAGCTACTTAGAGCTAATTGTTCCAATTCTACTGGATGCCCTCTCTTCTAAGAGATGGTCCCTATTTATAATCTATTACCATATGTAAAATAAGGTAGAGGAGCATCAATTATTGATTACATAATTAGTCAATTCCTAATTATATGCTCCATAAAATAAGCAAGGATTTACATAAGCAGTCAATTCTTTATCCTATGTTTCCTTGAATTCTGCCACAAGAATGATTATTTGATTACTTGCCTTTCCTGCATGATTTTTATCAACTTCCTTCATATGTTAGTGTGAATAATACAGTACCCTTGTATCCAAATTCCTTTTCTCCTCAAATTTGTATTAGCAAGATTGGAAGTCTAGATTCACTGAATCTGAAAATCATAAAAGCCTTTTGGTGCTATTAGTTTTACTTCACATTGTCATTTTCATCCAGAGAACCTTTGCATTCGGCACATATCCCCAGTACCTTCATCTCCCTAGGGTAGCATTGTAATGTTGTGTTTTCCCGAGACCATTCATGTATCACACTATCATCCTATATCCACGCTTACAATTTCATCTTCCCAAATTTCAAGGGGGAGTATCATCTATTGGGGATTCAAGCTCATATTAATTGTGTTTATAACATGTTTGGTGCATATGATCTGTTAAGTGTTGAACTATGAAACTGTGTATATATCTCACTGTGAAAACTGTACAAGATAGAACCTATTCATACATAGGCTAAAGACTACTAGGCCACATAATTCAAAACATAAATGTAAGACTAAGAGCAACTCTCTCTAACAACCCTTATTCCTCTAACACTCCCCCTCAAGCTGGAGCATAGATGTCAATCATGCCCAGCTTGTTACAGATATACTCAATCCTGGCTCTACTAAGGCCTTTCGTAAGAACATCCGCCAGCTGCTCACCAGTTCGAACATGAACAGTAGAAAGTAGCCCTTGTTGAACCTTGTCCCGTACAAAGTGACAATCTATCTCAATATGTTTAGTGCGCTCATGAAACACAGGATTACTCGAAATGTGTATAGCGGCTTTGTTGTCACACCATAAAGGAACTGGCTTACTCACCTCTACACCAATCTCCCCAAGAATATTACACAACCACGTCACCTCACATGCCACATGAGCCATTGCTCTATACTCAGACTCTGCACTAGAGCGAGCCACAACACCCTGCTTCTTACTTTTCCATGACACTAGGTTGCCACCAAGGAACACGCAATACCCTGTTGTCGACCTCCTGTCACTCGGCGACCCAGCCCAATCAGCGTCAGAGAAGGCCTCAACACACATATGCCCATGATTGGCATACAAAATTCCTTTCCCAGGAGCACTCTTTAAATACTTCACAACTCGAACTGCAGCTTCCCAATGAATTTTTCCTGGATTCGCCATGAACTGACTTACCACACTCACTGGAAAGGCAATATCCGGACGAGTTATAGTAAGGTAATTTAATTTCCCCACTACTCTCCTATACCGCTCTGGATCTTCAAGAGGCTCCCCCTCACCGGCTACAAGCTTAACACTCTGGTCCATAGGAGTCTCGCAAGGCTTCGACCCTAAGAGCCCAGATTCTTCAAGTAGATCCAACACATATTTCCGTTGTGAAAGAAATATACCTTTCTTAGAACGAACAACCTCTATCCCAAGGAAGTACTTCAATACTCCCAGATATTTTGTATGGAATTTCTTTTTAAGAAAAGACTTGAGCGCATCAATCCCCGTTGCATCACCACCTGTGATCACTATATCATCCACATAGACAATTAACAAAACGCTGCCACGGTTAGAATGCTTATAAACAACAGTGTGATCATAAGCACTACGTTGCATGCCAAATTCAATAACGACAGTACTGAACCTCCCAAACCACGCTCTGGGAGACTGTTTTAACCCATACAAGGACTTCTTCAACTTACAAACCTTCCCGTTCTCCCCCTGAGCAACAAACCCAGGCGGTTGCTCCATATACACTTCCTCTGCCAAATCACCATGTAGAAATGCATTCTTGACATCTAACTGATACAGCGGCCAATCATTAACAGTAGCTAGAGAAATAAAGACCCGCACAGACGTTAACTTCACAACCGGCGAAAAAGTCTCCGTGTAATCAACTCCATAAGTCTGTGCATACCCTTTAGCCACCAACCGCGCTTTAAGCCGAGCAACCGACCCATCCGGGTTCGTCTTGACAACGTAAACCCACTTGCATCCAATTGGAGACTTCCCAGCGGGGAGATGGACAAGATCCCAAGTCTAATTCTCTTCAAGGGCTGCCATTTCCTCTTCCATAGCAGATTTCCATCCATCATGAGACATAGCCTGACACAACGTTTTAGGGACAGACACAGACACCCACCGTGTGACACAAATGCATTTCTTTCCTGGAGCTCGTTTGAATCATTATTTCCCGATGCATTTTGTAGCATGGAGAATAATTGATCCAAAGATTCCAAGTCCTTATTTCCTAGCAGTTGAGATCTAAGGACATCATATTCTTTATCCAGGCCAGCAATCCAACTAAAAACAAGTAATTTGTCACGTTGTTTTTTCATTTCATCCACATCATTTGTTATTGGCATCGCAGCACACAAAGCAACACATACACTCTTAAAGTCATAGTAGTAATCTCTAAGCTCACGCCCCTTCTGACTAGATCGATATGCTTCCTGAGACAACTGGTATAACTTTCTCAAATTACTAGTTCCACTAAACCATTTGTTCACTAAATCCCATACTTCTTTAACAGTCTGACAATGTTGCATAGATAAAATAATTCTCCTATCAATGCAATTAATTACACATGACATTAATCCTTTATCAGTATTTTTCCAGTCCCCAGCTGTAGCATCTGTAGGACACTCTTTTTCCAGATGATCACCCTTTCCCATACCATCTAAATTTACTTTAACCAAAAACCTCCACTCAGGAAAATTAGACCCATCTGGGGCCAAAACTATGTCAATTAATTTAGATGGCGTGGAAATCACTGTGATATTCCTTTCTTGTGCCATTTTTAATCTTCACCCAGCAAATTCAGAACAAAAACCAGCACAACTCTCTTCACACAGTACAGAAAAATACACTGGCGTACCTCTTTTAATAGACGAGCCAACCAGATCGGAACTTTCTTCAACACATCCCACCTCCCTGGAACCAGCACGGCGAGGCGAGACTGACGCACCAAGAATCGATCGGAGACGTCGCCGGAAACCGCCTCATGCGCCGGCGCGTTGAGTCGGAGCAGTCCTGCGGCGAGAGCGCGTGACACCTCCGACGACGGCCGGACTTCTTGCAGTGGCGTCGCCCGTCGTTCCCTGACCTAGCCTAGACACTCACTCTCACTTCCCACGCTCTGATACCATGTTAAGTGTTGAACTATGAAACTGTGTATATATCTCACTGTGAAAACTGTACAAGATAGAACCTATTTATACATAGGCTAAAGACTACTAGGCCACATAATTCAAAACAGAAATGTAAGACTAAGAGCAACTCTCTCTAAC